CCTCCTTTATTTATTTAACATCATCCTTGAAACTCTAGCCAAAGCAATTAGATGAAAGAAATTGAAGGGATAGAAATAGGAAAAAAAAAGAACTCAAACTATCATATTTTCCAATGACATGATTCTATATTTAGAGGATCCAAAAAATCCACCAAAAACATTCTAGAACTAATAATGAATTCAGCAAAGCGGCAGGATAGAAAATCAACACCCATAAATCAAATGTGTTCCTGTACATCAGTGAAGAATCCACTGAAAGAGAAATTAGGAAAACTGTTCCATTCACAATAACCTTAAAAAATATTTGGGAATCAATCTAACAAAAGAATTGAAAGACCTCTACAATGGAAACTATAGAACAGTAAAGAAAGAAATTCTAAAGAAGACTTTAGAAGATGGAAAGATCTCCCATGTTCTTGGATAGGCAGAATTAACATTGTAAAAAATGGCTATACTACCAAAAGTGTTATACAAATTTAATACAGTTTCTAATAAAATTCCATTGACATTTTTCATAGAATTATAAAAAAGCAATTATGAATTGACTTGGAAAAATAAGAGACCCATTATCATCCAAGCAATCCTTAGCAAGAAAAATGAAGCAGGAAGCATCACAATTCCAGATCTTAAACTATACTACAGGGCTGGAGTTGTGTCTCAGTGGCAGAGCACTTGCCTAGCACATGTGAGGCACTGGGTTCGATCCTCTACACCACATAAAAATAAATAAAGTAAAGGCATTGTGTCTATTTACAACTAAAAATTATTTTTAAAAAACACAAAACTATATCACAGAGCCATAGTAAAAGAACGACATAGTATTGGCACCAAAACAGACACGTAGACCAGGTACAAAATAGAAGACACATAAATAGAGTTACCTCATATTAGACAAAGTCACCAAAAACATACATTGGAGAAAAGATAGCCTCTTCAACAAATGGTGCCGGGAAAACTGGAAATTCATATGTAGCAAAATTAAACCCCTCTCTCTCACCTTGCACAAAAATCAAAGTGGATCAAAGTTAGGCACTAGTACAGAGATCCTGCACCTAACAGAAGAAAAAGTAAGCTCAAATCTCCACTGTGTTGGCTTAGAAACTGACTTCCTTAACAAGACTCCAAAAGTGCAAGAAATAAAATCTAGAATCCATAAATGGGATGGATTTAAGCTAAAAAGCTTCTTAGCAAAAGAAAGAATCAATAATGTGAAGAGAGAGCCTGCAGAGTGGGAGAAGATCATTACTACATGCACATCAGATAGAGCATTAATCTCCAGGATATGTAAAGAACTCAAAAAAACTTAACACCAAAAAAAAAAAAAAAAAAACCCAATCAATAAATGGGCTAAGGAACTGAACAGACTCTTCTCAAAAGAAGATATACAAGGGATTAACAAATATATAAAGAAAATGTTCAACATCTCTAGCAATTAGAAAAATGCAAATCAAAATGACACTAAGATTCCATCTCATTCCAGTCAGAATGGCAATCATCAAGAATACAAGCAATTGGGCTGGGGATGTGGCTCAAGCGGTAGCACGCTCGTCTGGCATGCGTGCTGCCCGGGTTCGATCCTCAGCACCACATACGAACAAAGATGTTGTGTCAGCCAAAAACTGAAAAATAAATATTGAAATTCTCTCTCTCTCTCTCTAAAAAAAAAAAAAAAAAAGAATACAAGCAACAATAAATGTTGGTGAGGATGTGGGGGAAAAGGTACACTCATACATTCATTGCTGGTGGGACTGAAAATTGGAATAACAGCTATGGAAAGCAGTATGGAGATTCCTCAGAAAACTTGTAATGGAACTATCATTTGACCCAGTCATCCCACTCCTGGATTATCCCCAAAGGACTTAAAATCAGCATACTACAATGACACAGTCACATCAGTGTTATAGAGCTCAATTCACAAATAGCTATGCTACGGAACCAACCTAGGTGCCCTTCAACAGATGAATGGTGTTAGGGTCTGTAAACAAGTCAAGATGGCGCCTGGCATTTTGCCAGAGGGAGTGGTTTGTGAAGTAACGCCAGCGAGCCATTAAGTGTGGAGATTCCTTATTGGTTGACTGCTGTATCTAGTTTATGTTAATTAAGATAAGCTGTGTGTAATGTATATATACCCCTCCTGTCCTACAATAAACGGCTCCCACTCGTGCTGTATCAATGTACACAAGTTGTTCATCACCCCCCCACCCCCCCCACCCCCCCCACCCCGGTTATTTTGCTGCAGCCGGACTGCGGCAGAATGGATAAAGAAACTATGGTATATATACACAATGGAATATTACTCAGCTTTAAAGAAGAATGAAATTATGGCATTTGCTGGTAAATGGATGGAACTGGAGACTATTATGCTAAGCTAAATAAGCCAATCTCAAAGAATCAAAGGCCCAATGTTTTCTCTGAAATGCAGATGCTAGTTCACAGTAAAGAAGGGGAGAATAGAGATATTTTGGACTAAACAGAGGGGAGTGAAGATAGGGGAAGGGGCATGGGCATAGGAATGATAATAGAATGAATTGAACATAATTACCCTATGTGCATATATGATTACATTACCTACATTGTATACAACCAGATGAATGAGAAGTTATACTCCATTTATGTATGATGTGTCAAAATGTATTCTGCTGCTATGTATAACTAATTAGAACAAATAAAAAATATTTTAAAAATGGAAAAATATATTCAAAACAGTAATACTCATGGTAGCCAAATGGTAGAGACACCCAAATGTTCACTAATGGATTAATAAATTTAAAAAAATCATGATTTATACATAAGTGGATACAGTGGAATATTTTCCAGCCCTAAAAAAAGAAGTGAAAAATACATGCTGCAACATGGAGAAAACTCAAAAACCTCACTAAGTGAAAGAAATGAAGCAAAAGATTATAAATTTTATGATTCCATTCACATGAAATATTTAGAAAAGATAATTCTATAAAGACATAAAGCATATCGGTGGTTGTCAGGAGCTATGAGTAGGGAGGATTGGGAGCTAATTGTTTAATAGGTACAGAGATTTCATTTGGGTAATGAAAATGTTTTGAAACTATGTAGAAGTGTTAGTGGTGTGACATTGTGAATGTATTAAATGCCACTGAATTTTAAGTGGATTACATTTGTTGTTTGAGTCCTTACCTACCATAGTCCTCAACATGCCTTTACCCAAATTTGCCAGTCTACTCTCAGCTGCCCAATGAGGTGGGGACAACTGATAGAAACCTAAGGATTAGAAGCAGGTCATTGGTGCGAAAGCCATACATATAGCCTCTTGGGTTCTCTCTGTCCTGCCTCTTCTCTTGGCTTCAGTTTAGCATTGGAACTTACTATATTGCTGAAAATCTTCCCATAGTCTCCTGCGGAGCATGAGTTTTGTCCTGTCCTTTTGAATCTCATTTAAAAATTCCTTGTTCATTCTTTTGGTAGCGTACACACTATTTAGCTGCTGATTGCTTCTACTCCAAGTAACCACTAGTATGCTTTCTGATTCTATAGTTTGCCCTATTCTGGATATTTCATGTGCAAAGTCAGGCAGCATGTGATCTTTTTTGACTGAGTTCTTTCCTTTGTATAATAACTTTAATATATTATATGTTAAATGTATATTAAACATATATATAAATATAATATATGTGTTGGGATTCTTTTTGGTACTAGGGATTAAATGCAGAGGTGCTTTACCACTGAGCCACATCCCCAGCCCTTTTTGAGATAGGGTCTTGCTAAGTTGCTGAGACTGGCTTTGAACTTGCGATCCTCCTGCCTCAGTCTTCCAATTTGCTGGGATTACAGGCATGACCACTATGCCCAGCAGAAAAGATTTTTAAAAAGAGAAAAGTTGAGGACTTGTTTTCCCATTTTAAGGAAATATGAATAGGTGGGGTATAGACTAAGCATCTGAATTTTTCCTACAGACTACTACCTGGTGGCCTCGTTGGCAGAAACAAAGGTTTGAATGTTGAATTATAGGAGCTTAAACTTTGATGCTTTTGTGTACCATTACCATTTACTCTAAATTTGAGCATTTGTCATTAAATATAAATGTACTGAAATTCTTTGCTAGAAAAATATAAGTTCTAAATTTTATAAAAGATTATTAGCTTTACTGATTTTTATTAAACATAATTTTTGTTATTTATACATTTCAAATAAACATTTTTAAAATTAGTCCATAATCTTATTACCCCAATTTAACAACTATTAACATTTTGGAGCCTTTGCTTTTAAGACATACTTTCTGTGAAAAGATACACACAAACACACACACACACACACAAAATACCAAAAATGCACATTATATTTAACAAATTAGGATCATCTGCCTTGCTCTTTTTTAGTCTTCCCCCCCCGCCACTATTGTTTATAGCCATTTTTCCACATCAAATTCAGTTATATCATGTGTTTATTTTTATTGGTTCTTTTTAGTTATACATAATAGGATTAATTTCAACATAATTATAAAAGCACAGGATATAATATTCTAATTCAGTAATTCCTCTTTCGCCTTCCCCCTTTGTCCTTCCCTCGGTTCTACTGATCTTTCTGCTACTTACCTATAGTTTTTTTTTTTTTTAATTAATGTGTTGTTGATGTACACAATGGTGAGATCCATTACGGTATATTCATATATGTACATAGGAAATTTAGGTCAGATTCATTCCACTGTCTATCCCATCCCTCCTCTCTTCCTTTATTTCCCTTTGTCTACTACACTGATCTTTCTTCTTCTTCTCCTTCTCCTTCTCCTTCTTTCTTCCCCCTACCTTTATTTTGGATTAGCTTCCACTTATCAGAGAAAACATTCAACTTTGACTTTTGGGGACTGATTTTGCTTGGCGTATCATGCATTTTAAATAGCTAGTAGATTTATAATTTATTATAGGAAATAAGTCAACGTATGAGACTTTCATTTTAGGAACATTTGTTTTCACAATTGCTTGTTTATCTGTTTTCTCTTCCTTTCATCACAAAATATCTTTACTTAGCAAAACCGTGTGGTTGGAGCAATGCAGCTCTATTCTGTGGAGAGGAAGGTTTCACAACCCATAGAAGGCCATGCTGCTGCCTTTGCAGAGTTCAAGATAGAAGGGAATACCAAGCCTGTCACTCTCTTCTGCTTTGCTGTACGCAGTTCCACAGGAGGCAAGGTAAGATCCACTCTACTTTGTCTTCCTCCTAGAAAAGTGTCAGAAATCAGGGTCATGAGTCTGTATGAGTACAATTGAAAGTGGGACATGGCCTGCAGGTCCCTGTATAAATGAGGACTCATAGCAGGGTTTAGAGCCACTCATGCAACATTTATTTCAGTAGTGTGGCAGCAACCTTGGCATAAAATTAGTAACCTCAAGTTAGCTTAGCCCCTTTCCCTTAGAATTCCTCTTAGATTGTACTGAGATGGGCCTTAAAGGGATGTGAGGCACAGTTTCTGCTCTCATGCATCAGTCTCGTGGAAGAGATAGCTGTGAAACCACTGCAGTGCCGTCTTTGCCATAAGGTATACCTTTCTCACACCTAAGGTGTGATTCCATCCTGGTGGTTGTGGTAGGGATGGGGATGAGGTCCCAAGGAAGCTGTAGAGAGGCAAGATTGTATCCAGGAGCCAGCTGACTTTTTTTTTTTTAGTTGCAATACTTTTATTTATTTGTTTGTTTGTTTATTTTTATGTGGTTCTGAGGATCGAACCCAGGACCTTGCACATGCTAGGCGAATGCTCTACCGCTGAGCCACAACCCCAGCCCACCAGTTGACTTTTATATAGCAAAGGGTATATCCAGACTCTGTTTGGAAAGGCTGTCATGGGAAGTGGTGTGGAGGTGTCCTATACCTTATGACATTAGAGAGACCTGGGATTCTGCTGGGGTTTCATGAGACAGTGGGGCACTGCTTCTAAATAAAGTTCTTATTCCTGGAAGACTCTTGTCAAAAAATACTTCCTGAAATCATTGTTTTGGATTGTTCATTAGCTCTGAAAGGATTCTCCAAAGATGAGTTATAAATCATTATATGGCTTCCTAAACTTGTTCATCTGAAACACACTTCTTTAGATATTTTGGTTATTGTGGCATAGCATACTTCATGCTTCCTCAATTGAGAACTAGTAGAAAAGTAGGAATCAGGTAAAATGTCAGCCTCATTGCTAAAAGAGCTAATTAAATACACCAGCTTTAGCTATATAGTACAAGAGCTTGCTACCATATCACCTCAGAATTAGGCTTACCATCTTTTCACAGATGGAACTGGGGAGGGACAGGCCTCCATTTTAGTAGCAGAATCTGCGCCACTGAGCTCCCTAGAGATGAGAGCTTTCCAGAATGAGTTCACTTAGAAGCCTGGTGTGCTCAGCAATCTCCTGTACTCAGATTTCAGATGGGCACTCTCCTGGGGGAGCAAGCAAGGTTGGAGAGGGGATAGTAGTAACCTGCTGGGGCAGGCCCTTCCACAGTGACCTGAGTCACACTCAGCTCCCGCATCCCCCATCACACACAGTAAATCTCCCAAGAATTGTAGAAAATTGTGGCTGTTTCTCTCCCCTGCTACAGGGAGGGTGTAGTATCCTTCTCAACCTGGGTTCCTTGCCCTGAATTCTTTCTACGTTCAACTGTCTTTACAAGAGTAACTCAGTAGTCTCCACATGTGGATTGGAGTTTGCCTGGATATCAGTTACTGGATATTAGTTACTGCTAACCTTCCCAGAGGCAAATGTCACTTGTTCAAAATCACACCCTTCTCCCTCTGCTTTCCCAAAACTTTGACTTTTGTTCTCATACCTCCACTTCTGTTGGTAATGTCATTGTCCTTCTTAACTCCCAAGCAAGAAACCATAGCTCTCTAATTTTGTTACCACCTGACCTTTAGCAAGTCTTATATCTGTCTAAGCTTTTAGTGACTATGCTCTTATCACCTTACATTTGGCTCAGGAAATGACCATTTATTAGGTCCTCAGACCTGCTCCACCCTTTTCACTAATAGGTCTTGCCACAGAGTTTTTCTAAACTACCTTTTATCTTAAATTTCCTGTGTGCAAGAAGTTCATCTGACCTATATTAGCCTTTGCATGCCCACATATTAGCCAGCCCATCTTTCAGTGTATCCCCTCTCCACTCAAGCCTTTTTGGGATTTCCCACCTTTCCTTCTTTCCTTTCCTTCTGCTGGCCAAATTGAGACTATCCCCCTCTGTGAAACCCACCCTCTAACCCTTGTTGTGTCATGTCTCCAATCCACTCTACTCGTGATTTTTTTTTTCTGGATTGTTTTAGCTTTGGCACTTTTTCTTTTTTTAATATTTATTTTTTAGTTGTAAAACAATACCTTTGTTTTATTTATTTATTTATTTTTTATGTGCTGCTGAGGATCGAACCTAGGGCCTCGCACACGCTAGGTGAGGGCTCCACCGCTGAGCCACATCCCCAGCCCAGCACCTCTTCTTCAAACAAAATTTATGGTGAAGGCACCTATGTAAGTCAGAATTTAGAACCTTTCTAATACAAGGAGGAAGGAACTTCCTCATCCACAGACATTCCTCTAAGTTCTACAATAATTCTTACATCTCCCTGAATAACCTTGAAAAAACTCAGGCCTGTACCACAGTGGGTTGGATTGTCTCATGAGTTTGACATTCAGAGATGAGATATCATTGACTAACCGGTTCACATTAGCTTGGGCTATATCTGAATGATTGGAGAGAACTGAAATAGGAAGCAGATACTAGTTGGAATGTTTGCTTCATGTCAGCCCCAAAGCCCAGGGAAGAAAGAAGTGATTCAACTAACCAGGAACTAAATATTCTCAGGTTTTCTGGCAGTAGTTCTTTCTGTTGGTGAGAATCAGGTTGGTAATCACAAGTACCTCAATAAAGAAATTGTCTTCTGTTGTTCGAATGTATGTTTTAGCTTTAGTCATACAGAGCTTGTACCTCTGCTCACCACTGTGCCTTGTTTAGTATCCGTCTGCCACCAAGAGCATTTACTTGTATTTACTAACATCTTTCTTCTAGTTGCACATAATTGAAGTTGGACAGCCTGCAGCAGGAAACCAGCCTTTTGTAAAAAAAGCTGTGGATGTGTTTTTCCCTCCAGAGGCACAGACTGATTTTCCAGTGGCTATGCAGGTATGGATTGCTGCTCTTTAAATATCTCACATTCTAAATTGTCAATTTTGGCACTTTCTAAAGTTATAGGAAACTGTCATCTGCAGTTTGTTTCATTATCCTTCTCACCCCAGATCTCTGATTCATTCAAACCCATTTAGAAACCTGAAATTTTGTGCATGATTTTAGGAACAGTCCTGCTCATAGAAGTCCTTCATCAGAGCAGGTCAGGACAGCATGAGACTTTTCTAGCTTTTGTACCAAACTTTTAGGCCTTTCTCCTTTTATTGTAAAAAATTAGGTAGTTACTGTGGTACAAGACTGTATAAAGAAGAAAACAGTCCTCTGTAGATAAACCAATGTGATGTAAAATACACCAAAGATCATATTACTTATTATGTAAATAACTTAGATATAAACCTTTTCTGAATAAAACTGGGATCTCAGTATATATGTAAGATGGACATGTCTTAGCTATTTCCTTTTATTCTGTTCTCAGATATCTGCTCATATTTATAATCATTTCTATAAGACAGATTTCTAGTAATAGTTTCCTGATAGAAGAATGTAATTGTTCCCCCAAAGTGAAATCAGCTTTTTTCCTGTCTTATAGAAAGATATGTTTTATATCAATTTCCATCAATATCAAATGTAACAGCAGGATTAAATATCAACTAAAATCCTACCATGACTGATAATTGTAACCACCATTTAAGGTAACTTTATATGCATACATTCATGCAGATATATTCAAATAGACTCCTACAAAAATGGTTTTGTACTAGCCTTGCTGCTTTATGACTCTCTCTCTCACTATATTAAAGATAGCTCTATGTCAGTAAAATCACATTTATTTTATTGTTTGGGTAACCTGTTCTATGCATGTGCTGTGCCTCTCTCAAATTGTCCCACTGATGTGTATTTAGATTTACTGTAATCACTTCAAGGAACTTTGCAGTTCATACATCTTTATTCATTAGTCAGAAAGTCTGAGGATAGATTCTTAGACATAAAAGTATGTGTCAGAGGCATATACATGTCAGCAGCTCTCATGACCATGCTGATTATTTCTTCTGCCAGTGCTGCCCTTTACAGCTGGACAGTGTCCAGTGATTTTCTTATTCTTCCCTTGGTTTCTGTCCAGGCAGAATGGGTTTCTCATATGCGTCTTATTAATTGAATTTTCATGATCTTTGCATTTTTTTGTCAGTCTTTTATTAAAGTGTCTGGTGGGTTTCAAGTATTTTTCTGAGTCATAACAAAAGGTGGTCACATATTCCATCTTGTATACATTTTGCATTTTTGTGTGGCTTTACTATCATATTTTGAAAATAATTCTGTACCCTAAGATGATCACAGTAGCCACACATATTTTTTCTATTACTCTTTTAATTGTATTATTTTTATTTAAAATATTTATTTTTTTTAGTTATAGGGGGCATAACATCTTTATATTTTATTTTTATGTGGTACTGAGGATCGAACCCAGTTCCTCATGCATGCTAGGCGAGTGCTCTACCACTGAGCCCCAGCCCCAGCCCTTAATTGTATTATTTTTAATTTAAAGTCTTTGGCTCATCTGAGATTTACTTTGACCTAAAGAGTAAGGTAATGATCCAAGTTCTTTACTCTCTCCTCCATCCCCAAATAGCTAACTGGTTATATCAATATCATGTGTTGATTAAAGTATTTGGAGTCCACTACTAGGCTACTTACCATTCTCACACATAATAGATTCTATTTCAAGGTTCTCAATCAAGTTACCTTTTTCTCTGACTTCCTATGCTAGTATCATACTTTTAAATAACTTTAAATTTTTAAATAAGCTTCAGGTTTTCCTGTGTGTTATTGATGGCATTTGGCAAAGGTTAGTAAGTGGAAATGGAAGGTAGATTGGAAAGTGAAGTCAGTATTAGGGGTCTTTATCCAGAACTTTCCCCTTCTTTTATGAACTTGAAGCTTAATGGGGTTTGGAAAGAAACTGGGGAAAGAATGTCTCTACCTGAAAGATATATGGAATAGGCTGATTTTCTTTGACCTTTGTTTGAGAGTGATTGGGCAAAATAAACCTAGGTCTCATGGAGAAGAACTTGAAATCCATTTCTCAGGGTTTCATTACTCCCATTGATGATCTCAGCCATGGAATCTCTGGGATCCCATTTATCATTCATGAGCTCTTTTTTTCTTATGTGGCTTTGTCTTTTTCTTTTTTTTTTTTTTTTAATTTATTTATTTTTAGTTCTTGGCGGACACAACATCTTTTTTGGTATGTGGTGCTGAGTATCGAACCCGGGCCGCACGCATGCCAGGCGAGCGCGCTACCGCTTGAGCCACATCCCCAGCCCAGCTTTGTCTTTTTCCAACCCATCATACTCTGCCTTCTTACAGATTGGAGCTAAACATGGAGTTATATATTTGATCACAAAGTACGGCTACCTACATATGTATGATTTAGAGTCTGCTGTGTGTATCTACATGAACCGTATTAGCGCTGACACAATCTTTGTAACTGTTCCACATGAACTAACCTCTGGGATTATTGGTGTCAACAAAAAAGGACAGGTATGTAACTCTGAGGTTTAATTTCCCACCTTTTCCCTTCAGTAAGGACTAGAGCTTTGTGATCAGGTGTAGTTAACTCCTGTTATTAAACTTATACCCATGTCTGTCTTCTCCTTCACATCATCATTTCCTCTCTTCAACCAGCACCATTCCTAACACAACATTGATTCTGAGTGAAGCATCTGCCAGTGGAGCAGCAGTTCTAATATGCACCGTGTACATCTTTATATCAAGCACCTGTTAGTTGGAGAAGGTTGAAAAAGCAGATACTATGCTGTTGAAGTTAACCTTTCTGAACCAAAGTTAAAAAGAGAAGAAAATCAATTTTTAAAAAATTACCTTAAAAGAAAAATTGTAAGGAGTACTCATCAGTGAAAATCAAGCAAGTCATTTTGGCATAGATCTGAACACATCATTATGATCAGTGCCTGTATGACTTTACATTTTCATAGTATTTTGAACAGCTGCATAGAATCCCATGCTATCACTTTGCTGGGTGATTCTACTTTGTTACCATTAAGAACCTGGCTCCTTTGCATCTTTTTATGTTAGGACCAAGATCACAAGCATGCTCAACATGAGTCTGGGAATTTGGCAAACATTGCAGTGTCATGAGGGAATGTGACAGACTGTGTATCTGGGGCATTCCCCCAGGGGAACTGGTCTCACTTGGTGGGTTCTTACAGGTGCTGTCAGTTTGTGTTGAGGAAGAAAACATTGTGAGTTATGCAACCAATGTGCTTCAGAATCCAGACCTGGGTCTGCGTTTGGCTGTTCGTAGTAACCTGCCAGGGGCAGAGGAGTTATATGTGAGAAAATTCAGTACCTTCTTTGCACAGGGGAACTATGCTGAAGCCGCCAAAGTAGCAGCATCTGCACCAAAGGTAATGAAACTTGAACACTGTATGCCATTCTGAAGTTTTAGGACCCAACCTTGAGGGTAAAATAAAACATGAAAGCATTTCACTACACTATTGGAATATATTAGTGTTATGTTAGTGTGCTTTTTGATTATTTTAAATGTTTTACTAATGGCATAGCAGTAATGGAAACACACAAAATTTTGCTCCACCATTTTATTCTTTATTGTTTTTCTGTTATTGCTGTGTTCATAAATATTTCTTACCCAGAATCTTAGCTCAGGTACAGTTTTGTTTTTTGGTGACTTGAATTTTTCACTGACACTACCTAATCATTAAATATAAAATTATAAAAAATAGGGTAACTATACCTATTTTATTTAGTGACAGTCCTATTCTGGACTTTCTTCACTCTTCTAGAGAATAATAGTTTGGTTTATTTCCTTAGGATACATTTTCCTGGGACTGGATTTACTTCTGAGTAAATAAAGGTTTTCAAGTTACTTCTCCTCTAAAGATTTCTTCCTGTCTTCCAAGTGGATTTGAAGGAACCATTTTATTTTTTAATACCTTTATTTTATTTATTTATTTTTATGTAGTGCTGAGGATCAAACCCAGGCCTCACATGTGCTAGGCAAGTGCTCTACCACTGAGCCACAATTCTAGCTCTTAAACAAACCATTTCTAATGGGACTGAAAGTTTTTTAAATTTGAGTGAGTGTAGAACTTCAAGACCAAGTTAGAGGCCTAATTCTCACTGTAGCCTGATAGGGTACAAGTAAGATCCAAAATGTGACGTTGCCCTAGGACTTAGACCCACTCTACTTAGTTATTGATGGAGGTAGAAGCAGTAACTTTAGTAGAGGAATTTTTGTCCATGTCAAGTCACTGTAGAATTCCATTGGCAAAAATTTGTTTTATATGAGCAAATTGAGTGAAGGGTTGCCCTGTGATTACAAATAAGCTATATTTTCATTTGTTATCAGGGAATTCTACGTACCTGTGATACAGTCCAGAAGTTCCAAAGTATACCTGCCCAGCCTGGCCAAGCCTCTCCTTTGCTCCAGTACTTTGGAATCCTGCTTGACCAGGGTCAGCTCAATAAACTTGAATCTTTAGAGCTTTGCCGGCTAGTTCTTCAGCAGGGGCGCAAGCAACTCTTAGAGAAGTGGCTGAAAGAAGATAAGGTGAAATCACAAACCCAAAATAGTTTGAAAAATGGGTTGCAGCTGCCCTGCTTCTCCAATCCTAATGTTGTCTTGTCTTTTGGCATGTACAGCTAGAGTGTTCAGAGGAACTGGGAGATTTGGTCAAAACTGCTGAACCTATACTGGCTCTGAGTGTGTACCTTCGGGCAAATGTACCAAGCAAAGTTATCCAGTGTTTTGCAGAAACAGGCCAATTCCAAAAAATTGTGCTCTATTCCAAAAAGGTAATACATGTTTCATCATCACTGCACAAATAATTCATGTGCAGGTGGGTGGTTGTCAATTGTGTCATTTATAAAATGCCTTCTATGTGGAGTGAGTGCTCTGGTATACAACAGTTATCAGTACTGCTGTTAGCATCTGGCATTCATTAATATTAATAATATTTTATTATTCACTTTTTTATTTTCCTGTCTTATTTTACAGTCAGAAGCTTTCTTATAATTTTTATCTTTCTCTTAGTACTTCTCCATCCTTCTTCCCCCTATACCATCTGTGTGTCAAATCAGTGTTTGTGGGGTTTCAGATCCTATCCCCATGTGGTCAAAATTGTCAGCACTTGCTAGTGCTGTGCCTGCACACCAACCTGGGTTACTTCTCTGTGGTCCATGTTGTTTTTTTAGTTAATTGCATCTCATATACATGGGATCAGTTTTCACTTAATTGGACATTTTATTTGGCAAAGGAGTGGTACATATACATGCTAATGTTGATAGTCATTTTTTTATAAACATAAATTCCAAACTAGAGGATAAACTTTTTTTAATGCCTAGCATTTTTACTTACTTTTCCTGATTGGTGTTCACTCACTTACAGGTTGGTTATATCCCAGACTGGATCTCTTTGCTGAGGAGTGTGATGAGGATCAGTCCAGAACAGGGTCTGCAGTTTTCCCAAATGCTAGTGCAGGATGAGGAGCCATTGGCCAACATTAACCAGGTGAATATGGGTTGTTTGAGATATTTTAGGACTTTTTGTAGCCATCAAGAAGATTCCCTTTCATTTGGCTTTCTGTTATCACAATTCAGTGATTTTCTTGGTTTGTTCTTATTCTTTTAGTTTTAAAAAAATCTAATGCACTAGGAGAGCTTGTCTTTATTATTTGAATACTTGTCATTCAAGTATTGACAATATTTATTGATCTGTGTGTCAAACTTAGAGGATTTTGTTTCTTTTTGTTGGGATTAGTAATAGGATGTGAGGATGTTATTTAAGAATGGTAGCCCTCCATCCCTTATTCCATTCCATTACTACCCGATTATTTCTTTCTGACAAATAACCTGTACAATGGAAAGTGCAGACAAGTCACCTGACTTGCATATTCTGGGTGTCTAATTGCCCTGAGTTTTAGTATAACTTACTTAATATTCAGGTATAAACACATTTCAAATCACCTTCAGTAAAATACATTCAAGAAGTGTGTAATAAAGCAGAACAGTAAAACCAACAACCTGTCTAGAAATGATATGTACAATTATAATTGGATTTGTGCATCTGGGAATCTGCAGATATTTTGGAAATCATGAAATAAGGGGTTTGAGCCAAATTTACTTAGATCTCAATGGGAAAGAAGTGTCTAGTTGAAATCTTGATTACATTTCATATTTTTTAAACTTTTTTAAAAATATAAACTTTTGGGCTGGGGCTGTAGCTGAGTTGGTAGAGTAACTTTCCTGTCACATGTGGGGCCCTGGGTTCAATCCTCAGCACCACATAAAAATAAAATTAAAATATTGTGTCCATCTACTATAAAAAATATATATATATCACTTTTTCCAGGCATGGCAGTGCATGCTTGTAATCCCAAAGGACTTGGGAAGCTGAGGCAAGAAGATTGCCAAGCAACTTAGTGAGACCCTGTCTCAAAATTAAAAAAAAAAAAAAAAAGGCTAGGGGATGTTACATAGTGGTAAAGTGCCTCTGGGTTCATCCCTAGTACCAAAAAACAAAAAATCCAACTATATGTATTTCCTCTTATACTTTAAGTATGAAAAACGTTACACAGTTGCTAAATTTATTACCTATATTTCACCTCTTACTAAGTTTTATTAATTGTTTTAAATTAATATTTGTTTAATTGTAGTAAGTGTCTAAGTAAATGTGCATTTTCCCACTTGTGCCTGAATAACATAATGATAGTGAATGGGCTATACCCCAGGTATTAGCTTCCTTTACAATTTTTTAAAATTTTTTAGTTGTGGATGGACACAATATCTTTGTTTCATTTATTTATTTTTATGTGGTGCTAAGGATTGAATCCCGTGCCTCACTTGCTAGACAAGTGCTCTACCACTGACTAAAATCCCAGCCCCAATTCCTTTACAATTTGATTAACATTATTTGAATCACTTCGGATTCTGGGGGCTCCCATGTATTATAAAGACAACTGCCTTTAATCCACTCTATTAAAATGGCCTGTTGTTGAGTATAACGTAGGTGTTATAATTTCACAAAATTACCCTTGGGTTAATAATAGCTATGAATTATTTGAATTTCAGAAATATAAGAAAATGCAAAGGAAGGGACTAATCACTGAATTTTTAAATGAGATTCTATCTCAAAAACTGTTTCAATAGGAAAATTAAACAGTTCCTTCTCTGAGTGAAAACATGGCTTGGATCTTTGTAGATTGTGGACATTTTCATGGAAAACAGTTTAATTCAGCAGTGTACTTCCTTCTTGCTGGACATCTTGAAGAATGATCACCCAGCTGAGGGGCACCTCCAGACCCAGCTGTTGGAAATGAATCTGATCCATGCCCCCCAGGCAAGTGACATCTCTAGGCTAGTAACAAGGGGCAGGGTACCTGCTGTGCCTCTGTATGGGATGTACAGACCTGAGCACAGAGGTTTTGAACTGGTTATACTTGTTCCAGATGTTTATTTTTATGCTTCTCAGTAGGCAAAAAAACGTTTTCCTCCAAGGTTTTTCAGGAAATCAGGGTACAGAACATTCAAGGAAACAGTTACAACTGGGAATATAATTTCTTCCTTTCTTCTCTTTTTCATTGTGGTAAAATATGCATAACAAAGTTTATCATTTTTAAGTTTTTTTTTAGTTTTATTGATTTTATTTTTTTAAATACACAATAACAGAATGCATTACAGTTCTTATTACACATATAAACCACAATTTTTCATATCTGTTTATATATAAAGTATGTTGACACCCAATTCAAGTCTTTATACATGTACTTTGGATAATGATGTCCATCACATTTCACCGCCCTTGCTAATACCCTGCCCCTTCCCTTTCCCTCTCACCGGTCTTCCCTATCTAGAATTCATCTAATCCTCCCATGCTCCCCCCACCCTACTCCACTATGAGTCAGCTTCCTTATATCAGAGAAAACATTTGACATTTGTTTTTTGGAGATTGGCTAACTTCACTTAGCATTATCTTCTGCAACGCCATCCATTTACCTGCAAATGCCATGATTTTATTCTCTCTTAATGCCGAGTAAAATTCCATTGTGTATATATGTCACATTTTTTTATCCATTCATCCACTGAAGGGCATCTAGGTTGGCTCCACAGTTAGCTATTATGAATTGTGCTGCTATAAACATTGATGTAGCTGTGAACCTGTCGTATGCTGTTTTTACGTCCTTTGGGTATAGTCCGAGGAGAGGGATAGCTGGGTCAAATGGTGGTTCCATTCCCAGATTTCCAAGGAATCTCCAAACTGCTTTCCATATTGGCTGTACCAATTTGCAGTCCCACCAGCAATGTATGAGTGTATCTTTTTCCCCACATCCTCACCAACACTTATTGTTGTTTGCTTTCATAATAGCTGCCATTCTGACTGGAGTGAGATGATATCTTAGAGTACTTTTTTTAATATTTATTTTTTACTTATAGGTGGACACATATCTTTATTTTATTTTATTTTTTATGAGGTGCTGAGGATCGAACCCAGGGCCTCACAGGTGCTAGGCAAGCACTCTACCTCTGAGCCTCAATCCCAGCCCCTTAGAGTAGTTTTGATATGCATTTCTCTGATTGCAAGAGATGATGAGCATTTTTTCATTTATTGTTGATTGATTATATATCTTCTTCTGAAGAGTGTCTGTTCAGGTCCTTGGCCCATTTGTCAATTGGGTTATTTGGGGTTTTTTGGTGCTTAGCTTTGAAAATTTCAGACCAATATCTCTCATGAACATAGATACAAAAATTCTCAATAAAATTCTGGCAAATCTAATACAAAAACATATCAAAAAGATTGTGCACCATGATCAAGTGGGATTCATCCAAACATACAAAAATTAATGAAGGTAATTCATCACATCAGTAGACTTAAAGATAAGAATCATATGATCATCTCAATAGATGCAGAAAAAGCATTTGACAAAATACAGCACCCCTTTATGTTCAAAACACTAGAAAAACTAGGAATAACAGGAACATATCTCAACATCGTAAAGGCTATCTATGCTAAGCCTCAGGCCAACATCATTCTAAATGGAGAAAAATTGAAGGCATTCCCTCTGAAAACTGGAACAAGACAGGGATGTCCTCTTTCACCACTTCTATTCAACATAGTTCTTGAAACACTGGCCAGAGCAATTAGATGAAAAAAATCAAAGGGTTATGTATAGGAAAAGAAGAACTTAAATTAGCATTATTTGCTGACAATATGATTCTATACCTAGAAGACCCAAAAACTCTACCAGAAAACTTCTAGAACTAGTAAATGAATTCAGCAAAGTAGCAGGATATAAAATCAATACCCATAGATCAAAGGCATTTCTGTATATCAGTGACAAAGCCTCTAAGAAGGATGAGGAAAACTATCCCATTCACAGTAATCTCAAAAAAAAAAAAAATAAGATACTTGGGAATCAACTTAGTGAAATAGGTGAAAGATCTATACAATGAAAACTACAGAACCCTAAAATTAGAAATCAAAGAAGACCTTAGAAGATGGAAAGATCTACCTTGCTCTTAGATAGGCAGAATTAATGTTATCAAAATGACCATACTACCAAAAGCACTATACAGATTTAATGCAATTCTGATCAAAATCCCGATGGTATTCCTCATAGAAATAGTAAAAGCAATCATGAAATTCATCTGTAAAAATAAGAGACCCAGGATAGCTAAAGTAATCCTTAGCAGGAAGAGTAAAGCAGGTGACATTGCTATACCAGACCTTAAACTATAGTACAGAGCAATAGTAACAAAAACAGCATGGTATTGGCACCAAAACAGACTGGTAGACCAGTGGTACAGAATAGAGGACACAGAGACTAACCCACAAAATTACAATTATCTTATATTAGACAAAGGTGCCAAAAACATGCACTGGAGAAAAGATAGCATCTTCAACAAATGATGCTGGGAAAACTGGAAATCCATGTGCAACAAAATGAAATTAAATCCCTATCTCTCACCATGCACAAAACGTAACTCAAAATGGATCAAGGACCTAGGAATTAGACCAGAGACTCTGTGTGTAATAGAAGAAAAAGTAGGTCCCAATCTTCATTATGTGGGATTAGGCCCCAACTTCCTTAATAAGACTCCTATAACACAAGAATTAAAACCAAGAATCAATAAATGGGATGGAATCAAACTAAAAAGTTTCTTCTCAGCAAAAGAAACAATCTGTGAGGTGAACAGAGAGCCCACATCCTGGGAGCAAATTTTTACCCCTCACAAATCAGATAGAACACTAATCTACCATTTTAGGTTTTTAAATGTGCAATTCAGTGATGTTAAAAAGATTCACAGAGCTGGATGTGGTGGTACATGTCCATAATCCCAGCTACTCAGGAGGCTGAGTTAGGAGGATCACAAGTTCAAACCCAGCCTGAGCAAATCAGTGAAACCCTGTCTCAAAATAAAATAAAAAGGGCTGGAACTGGGGATGTGGCTCAAGCAATAGGGCACGGCGCTGGGTTCGATCCTCAGCACCACATACAAATAAAGATGTTATGTCCGCCAAAAACTAAAAAATAAATATTAAAAAATTCTCTCTCTCTCTCTCTCTCTCTCTCTCTCTCTCTCTCTCTCTCTCTCTCTCTCTTTAAATAAAGAAATAAAGAAAGAAAATAAAAAGGGCGGGTATGTGCTAAGTTCAGTGCTAAGTTCAGTCCCCAGTACTTAAAAAAAAAAAAGAGAGGACATTCACAAAATTGCGCAACCAACATCACTATATATTTTTATCATCCCAAAAGGGAACTGCCTCTAGCAGCCATCATTCTGCTTTCTATCTCTATGAAATTGCCTATTCTATATAGTTCATACAAATGAAATCATAAAATATTTGTCCTTTTGTCTTTTTTCTTTTTAATATTTTATTCATGTTATATCATGTGTTGTAAATTCATTTAAATTCCATTGTTAAGGCTACATAATATATTCCATATTATATGTATACTACATTTTATTTATCCTTTCATCTGTTGATGGACACTGGGTTGTTTCCACATTCTGGCTGTTATGAATAATGCTGCTTTGAACGTGAATGTACAAGTATCTCTTCAAGACCTGGCTTTCAATCTTTTTGAATATACTCCTAAACGTGGAATTGCTAGATCATATTGTAATTCTGCATTTAATTTCTTGAGGAACCACTGAGCTGTATTCCAAGAGGCTTCAGCATTTTATATTTCTGTCAGCAACACAAAAGTGTTCCAATTTCTCTGTCCTTTCCAACACTTTTTTCCTTTTATTCATTTATTTTTTAAATAACCACCATCTTAATGGGTGCAGTGGTATCTCACTGTGATTGGGGCATCATTTCTTAACCTGAAAGATGGGGGCATATGATCAAATCACATGTATTGCTATTTTTGGTTAAATTTGGAGATAAATGCATAGTGCAGAAATTGGAGATAAATATATGACATAGAGGATTTAATGTAAAGCTGTTTGACCAAGGTTGTATGAGAAGTTCACCTTGTTCATTACTTATTTGTCTTCTGATTTGTTTTTCTTTAATAATCACATAATATTTTGAAATTTGTAATTAACATGCTTTATTCTGTTACCTCAGTTTATCCAAATCCACAAGTCAGCTACTAAGTGTATCCATCATATCCCGCCTTTAGGAAATAAAATTGGTAATTTACTATTTGATGTATTTGAACTCTCATGACTTGGTGATTATGCATAAAGGATTTTAGTAAATAGAAACCAAGCAATACTCAGAAACTCAGCATACAGACCCCAAAGAGTACCCACACTGTAAGGGATGAGCTGACAACTAGGCATAGTACTAAAGGCTTGGGCCACAGTGCTTGAAACAGTGAGGCAGTCTTCTTTGGATGATGAGCACTGGATGATGCTTTCTGTCTTTGCTTATCTATCTAAGTTCTCTAAAACACAGTTTCTCTGATAAAGGGGAGATATTGAAAAACAAGAGGATAGTTATGCCAAAATAAAAGAAAAAAAGGATAGAGGGAAGCAGGTATCAGGTATTCAAAAACTCTCCTCTCAGGACTTGGTTTGATCCTTTATTCTGTAGGAATACAGAGTGTGCATAACCCTTGAGCAGTGTGGTATAGACTGTATGTAGTCACTGTGCATGCATCTAGTCCTCTCTTGGGTTTGTGTTCCACATCCTAGAAGGGATGGAAAAGAGTGTGCTGAGCTGCAGGTGAAGGCACCCAGGAGTACAACTTGTCAAGACTAACTACTGGTTAGAGACACTGGTAAGATCACTCAGAAAGGCAACAAAGTTGCTGTGTTGACATATCCATTTTAGTCCAGAGAGTACTAAAAATCTTAGACCTCATCAAAATTCTTTCTAGGTGGCATGTACTTATAATCTCAGCTACTCAGGAGGCTGAGGCAGGAAGGTTGCTTAAACCCAAAAGTTCAGGGCCAGCCTGGGAAACATAACAGGACTTCACCTCTTAAACCTCTAATACCTATTCCAAAACATATCTGTAACCCTATCTACATCATCCTCTCCATCCCCCTCTCTCCAGCTCTGACCTCTAATCACTTGACCCTATCCCAACATCAAACCTAAACTATGAAATCTAAACCATTATACTATAACCCTGTAACATATACACTAACCAATAACAACTAGTGCTAACAACAACCCTAATTCCCAAACTATAACCCTAGCCATATCCTATATCCTATACCTTATAACCAACCTAATCTCCACCCCAACCACATGCAACTCAAACCACCTCATCTTCACCTTCAACCACTCCCCAAACCTAACCAATTACTTCTAACTCCACCCCCAATCTACATCTTGAAATAAAGGACCTTATCTCTTTATAAAAAATAATTCCAGGAGTATTTATTGTTTTAAGTTCCATTCCTAATTCCTCCTTTAATTCAATAGAGAAGTCTAGTAAACAAATAGGATTTGTTACTTTCAGATCTAATTCTGACTCATCTGAGAATTAAAAGAAGGTGTGGTAGAATTGAGCCCTTCCACTGATCTTGCTATAGAAAACCCTATAAAAATGTAATTGCTGAACCCAACTACTATGTAACCATAAAGCTCTAATAAAAAAGATGTAATTGCTGAAAAACTGCAACAGGATCCCAATAATAGTGTTTTATGGAGCCTCAGTATTTCTTACGTGCCTGACTCCAGCCTATCAGAGCTCTAGCTGTCCTTCAAGTCATCTTTTGCACAAGGCTCTATTTTCCCATGTTGCAGAGCTAGGCCTGGCTCACAACATGGGAAAATAGAGCCTTGTGCAAAAGATGACTTGAAGGACAGCTAGAGCTCTGATAGGGAACCACTAACACTGCAGCTACCATGGAAGCATGGATATAAGCCCTGGTTCCTGAGCTACACACTACCCTGGGCGGGGGGGGGGGGGGGACAGTTGATCAGCTGCTGTTTAAAATTTACTGCCATCAATCAGGTTTTCTTACTGAAGTTGATATTTCACAGGTTGCAGATGCCATCCTTGGAAATCAGATGTTTACACATTATGATCGAATCCATGTTGCCCAGCTTTGTGAGAAGGCAGGCCTCCTGCAACGGGCGCTAGAGCACTACAGTGACATCAATGACATCAAGAGGGCTGTAGTCCACACCCATCTTCTCAATCCTGAGGTACAGTGCACCACTGGGGCACTCCCCTTGTTACTGGTGTCTATATGGTCATTCATATCACATGCTCCCAAATGTGTCCTGTGGGTGGTTTGTGAGACCAGGCATGAGCCTGCCATGCTTTACTGTACACACAATCCTCACCTGCCCATCAACATGTCTGGGGTCCATGTCATCTTTCTTTCACCTTTGACTTATTCTAATAACAGGAATAATGATAACATTTTAACATTGACAACCTAGCAAGACTGTCTGAATCATCAGTAAAAACTAAAAGAGCTACTGTGTTCCAATTACAGAATAGTTTTAGAATCAACTGTAGGATATACTAGGATAAACAGTTTAGGTCAGGGTTTTATCCTAAATTTATTCCTTGCTCCCACTTTTTACCATGATAGATAGGTGCTTTTTGGTCTTATTAAGTGAGAATTCTTTACACTTTTGACATTTAGGGTGGGGATGGGAATGATCCAGTTATTTAGTAACATTTACAACTCTTCCTTATTCTCAGTGGCTTGCCAATTTCTTTGGTTCCTTGTCGGTGGAGGATTCCATGGAGTGTCTACATGCCATGTTGTCTGCTAACATCAGACAGAACCTTCAGCTGTGTGTGCAGGTGGCTTCTAAGTACCATGAACAGCTGGGCACACAGTCCTTGGTAGAGCTTTTTGAATCCTTCAAGAGTTATGAAGGTAAATCATGCAGCCCTGGGCAGACCCTGCCTTATGATGACACCTGTCTTCTTATGTGTTGCTGTTCACTCATGCAACATAGAAGAGTCTTCCTGTAAAGCTAGGCAGGATGCAATTCTGACTGCCTTACATGTTCAGTCAAGAGCAGAATATTACTTTTCTCTCAGGGGTATATTCAACTTATGTAACCTTTTTGGTATTTTCAAAGAAAAAAAGCAAGTTGGTTGGTAGTGGGATGGGGGTACTTATAATTCCCCTAATATCCTTGAAGTCTTTGTAGAACCTTGTATCTCCATGTAGGACAGCTTAGTGCAGAATTCATCTGAAATTCTGTAATTGTGGTTCTGGGTACCAGTGAAAGGGCCTGGTATCTGGTCTGAGCAGCCCTGACAAGGCAACTCTTTTGTCCTCTTCCAAGTGAAAGCCCACAGTAGAGGGTCCATCACTTTGTGGTGTTACCTTGTTGATTGCAGATGAGGCCTATCTGGTTGCCATCCTTTGCCCTTTTGTGGTAATTTCACCAAAAGAATTCCAGGAAGGGTGGCTTTGTTGGGTTCAGGCTGGGGGCCTGACTAGATGTTTTAGAGAGATGGCAAGGCACACAAACTTTACATAGATGAAGAAGTCTGAGTGGGTCTGAAGAGTCGAGCAGGGTCGTTGTGGGTGGGGTGATCAAGAGAAAGTGAGCAACTGCCAAAGAGAAGACAAATGAATGTTAGGAGGGTAAACATGAAATAGTCTCTATTTATAGGCCTCTTCTACTTCCTGGGCTCAATTGTGAACTTTAGCCAAGACCCAGATGTGCATTTGAAGTACATTCAGGCTGCCTGCAAGACAGGGCAGATCAAGGAGGTGGAGAGAATATGCCGCGAGAGCAGCTACTATTACCCAGATAGGGTGAAGAATTTCCTAAAGGTATGTCCAGGCATGCCTTCCCTGACAAGCTGCTTTCAAGGGGTGATAGACCTGGCCAGAAGTCCTAAGAAGTACTAAGCTGAGTTTGTCTTGCCTTTATTCCCTTAACACCCAGTGACAAATCTCTACTTTATGATGGTCTAATATTCTTAGAGGACTCCACTCATCATTAAGAGAACCCTTTGAAGGAGAAAGAAACTAGAGGCTGTCCAGCTCTAGTTATCCATCATGCAGGTGGCAGCAGTTAATTCATTACTGCATTTTATTTCAGCAGCATCCCAACTGCGCCCCTGTTGGTTATGTGTGGTAAAGCTGCAATAACAAATAGACCAGTCAGTGTTAGAGGCATAAAGAACAATTAGCAAACTGGGCTTGATGACAACACCTGTAATCCCGGCAACTCAGGAGCTGAGGCAGGAGAATCACAAATTTGAGGCCAGCTTCCTCAACTTAGCAAGGCCCTAAGCAATTCAGTGATATCCTGTCAAAAAATTTAAAAGGTTGGGAATGTCTTTCAGTGGTTAAGCACCTCTGGGTTCAATTCCTTGTGCCGAAAAAAAAAAAGAACAAAATAAGAAGCCTATTTCTCATGCAACAGTCCTGGATAGCCGTGAGTTTGAGTGATATGGTTTTCCATGCCACCATCCTTTGAAGGATTGGCATATAACTGTTTTGCCATATTCAGTACTTTGCCTTGAATGTTGCCTTCCCTGTCAATTGGTGGAAGGGAAGAGTACATTTCATTGGTGGCTTTTATGGCTAAGTTCTGAAGGTCGCAGGTAACACTTTGGTTCATGTTCCCTTGAAGGAAATGAGGTTATGTGACCTCACCTGAAACTCTAGGGAACCTGGGAAAGGTGATCTAGGTGTGGGTCCAAATAAAGATTAATGTGATTATGGTGGCCTATTGACTCTCCTGATAAACTATTGTTTAGGAACTGAGTCTGAGTGTGTGAACAGCTCCCCCACTACCTCACCCCACTAGGCTGGCATTTCCTTGGGCTGTGACTTTATTGCAGATGAACTATTCTTTTTTGGAGGGGGTGTTTAGGGATGAAATCAAGGGCACTTGACCACTTAGCCACATCCCCAGCCCTATTTTTTGTATTTTATTTAGAGACAGGATCTCACTGAGTTGCTGAGGCTAGCTTTGAACTTTTGATCCTCCTGCCTCAGCCTCCCAAGCCACTAGGATTATAGGCATGTGACACCACATCCAGCAATTGCAAATGAACTATTCTGGTGGGCAGCCTGACCTATGTTGGGTTTCCACATAATGAGCTGCTTGTCTCAACCCAAAAGATGTTTGGATTTGCATAAATTTGGAAAGTTATTGTCAAATTTAGCAGAGATCTCTTGTTTTTAGCCAAATACTATTACCTTCCCCCCACTTGTTTCCCAAAACAAACACTACATTCTCACAATGTAAATGCCTTAAATGTCAGCCTATCTAGAGCAAAGTCTCCTTGTACATTCCCTGCAGGATCACTGTTGCACAGGCTAGGTCTGACTCTGTGGGGTCCCTCACTGCCTGACCTATTCTCTTCTCTCTATCCCTCAGGAGGCTAAGCTCACAGACCAGCTCCCCCTCATCATTGTGTGTGACCGCTTTGACTTTGTGCATGACCTTGTCCTGTATTTATACCACAACAACCTGCAGAAGTACATTGAGATCTACGTTCAGAAGGTACCATTCAGAGGGACACTGCAGACTCCCAGGGTGACACCTAGATGCCCTTAGGCCTCAGACAGTGATAATAGTCTACACCTCAGAGGCTGCCTCTTGACTCCTGAACATTTTAGAAATTTCACTTTGAAGGGTAGTGTATTAGTTTGCTCAGGCTGCCAGAATAGAGTACCATAGATTGAGCAGCTTAAACAACAGAAATTTATTTATCACAGTTTCTGGAGGTTGAAAGTCCAAGCCCAAGGTATTGGCTGAGTTGGTTTCTAGTAAGGGCTCTTTTTCGGGCCTGCAGATAGCTACCTCAGCACTGCATCCTCACGTGGTCTTTCCTTTGTGCACATGCATTTCTTATAAGGACACCAGTCCTATTGGATTAGGGCCCCATCCTCAACATTAATTACCTCTTTATTTATTTATTTTTGCCCCCCTAGCTGTACATAGTGTAGAGTTGCACCAGTAGTATAACCATACATGACATTAATTACTCTTTAAAGGTCCTATCTCCAAATTCAGTCTTAACATGGATAGGGCTTTGACAAATGAACTTTGATGGGACACAGTTCAGTCCAAAATAGGTTTTTGCCACACTGTACAAGTCTTGGGGGGCTTATAGCAATTCTGTTGTCTGCAGTGCTGAACTTGCCACCTTGATTCTTCTAGGTCAACCCTAGCCGTCTCCCAGCTGTGGTTGGAGGGCTGCTTGATGTGGATTGTTCTGAAGAAGTAATTAAAAACTTAATCATGGTGGTGAGAGGACAGTTCTCTACTGATGAGCTGGTGGCTGAAGTAGAAAAAAGAAACAGGTAAGGTTTTTTTACTTGGTATCTTCTCTTGCCCCTGGATTCTGGTATTTGTTGTTAAGTCTCTCCTTCTCAAAAATGCCTTATTGGTTGGTCTTTAGTCCCCAAGACTATTTTTGTCTCTCTTTTGTGTATACATCTTAGGTGTAGGAGTGAGTTAGTTGCTGTTGGTACTGAAGACAATGGGGTAAAACTTTATATTTGGAAGCTAGGTCTGTCTTTATCCCTGGAGCAACCTGAAATAAATAGAGTAAGGGATTGTTTGTTTGTTGTTTCAAGAATCAACCCTCAGGGCTGGGGTTATAGCTCAGTGGTAGAGCACTTGCCTAGCATGTATGAGGCACTGAGTTTGATTCTCAGCACTGCATATAAATAAAGATCCATTGACAACTAAAAAAAATTTTTTTTAAAAAAAGAATCAATCCTCAAAGCCCAGGGTTACCCTAGAGATACCTGATCACAGCTTTGAGAGTTTCACAGTATCTACTTTTTTCAAAGGCTCAAATTGCTTCTTCCCTGGCTGGAGTCTCGGATTCATGAAAGCTGTGAAGAGCCTGCCACTCATAATGCACTGGCTAAAATCTACATTGACAGCAACAATAGCCCTGAGCGCTTTTTGAGAGAGAATGCCTACTATGATAGCAGTGTGGTGGGCCAGTACTGTGAGAAGCGGGACCCACATCTGGCCTGCATTGCCTATGAGCGGGGACAGTGTGACCTAGAGCTCATCCAGGTAGGCAGAAAATATACTTGGCTTCCTGTGTCTCTCTGACTTCCCAGGGAAGCCTAATAGGGGCTGATTGGGAATTTGTGTACCCAGAGATGATGGGTCTGAAGTTCATTTCCATACATTTAGTTGTTTAATAATTCTGATACATTTTTGTGATCTCCTTATGTCCTATTGTATCTGTAGGCTTCACTAGCACTGAATCTGACCCATCACCCCTCTGCTTACAGTCATTAGTTATCTGGTGACTTGAGGGCAAAATTGAATTTAATCTGATCTGTGGACCACCTCCTTCCCCCCATTGACCCAGCCTGCTTCCCCTCTTGCAGCCCCACCTGGCATGACCTGTAGTCCTCCAGTGTCTCCTGTCCTAAGGGCCCTTGTACTGCCCCCTTCTTAGAGTAACTTTTCAGATGCCCTCCCTCACCTGTTCCTAACCCACCTAGCCCTTGCTGCCCCCTCCTTGAAAAACATTCACCAGGTCTTCTGCTTATATCTGCCCAGGTTGGGATGTATGTGTATGTACTTATGTGTTTAGGGTAAACTGTATAAACTACTACCACTTGACCTACAAATCCAGAAATCTCATGTGGTTGAATCTAGTGTTTTTTTCAGCTATAAGCTCATTTGGTCTATTTGTTCTCAGCAGCTCAGGTCTCGTAGTATATATATACTCAACAACCAGGTGCGGTGTATGTTAGAGTGTATATGAGGAGAGTTGAAGATGAAGAGCAGTTACCAGCTTCTCCTTCTGCCCTAGTTTTTAGACAGAATTGACAGGGATGAGTGAATATAACCACTCACCTGAAAGTCTTGGGGGAACTGGTTTTATAAAGCTGGGACGTTCATTTGTTTGATACCAGTTAGCCACTTTTTGGCTTAATTTACTCCCTTTTTATTAAAGCATAGTTTAATGGCCGCTTAGAGATCTTAGCACTCATCTGTTCCATGAGGTGCTAACCCTTTTAGTAAGGCCAAGTGTGCTAGGAAAGAGATACTCATTCAGGACTGCTCTGTTCAAGAGAGGGCTGCAGTATGACTTTAGGGCAGGGCCTCTGTATGGTTAGCACTTTGCCAGTCTACTTTGGCCTCCTGCCATCCCACACAGGCAGCCCATGTTGCCTTCACTTACATACACATATCCCAGCCCTGTGCCTATCAGGATATGTTTCTCCCCAAGATTTAGCAAATGCTTCACATGGTGGAATATCCCAGTGGATAATCAATAATTTGAAAATCTATTACAGTATTCAGAGAAGGATCTCAAAGTTAGTCAATGAAAGCACATTTTAAAGTTTCTGACCTTGAAACATTTCAGTGAATATACTGTTTTATACCAGTTCTAGGTACACAGATGAAACTTTAGAGATGATTTGGAGCTACCTACAGTTGAGTATTTAAATTAAAATTTAATTTAATTTTAATTTTAATTAAAATTAAAAATTGAGTTCCTCAGCTGCACACTACATTTTAAGTGTTCAGGAGTTTTCTATATTTAATGGTGGTGAATCACACAATAAGGTATAGACATGCCCATAATCACAGAAGGTTCTACAGGCCAGAGACGTGACACTTCCCTGTGAGTGATTGCAAACTTAGAGGTGATTGGAGGTACTTAATCTCTCTGAGGAGTGCAGTATTAATCCTGTGGGTTTCTGCTCATCACTTCTCAAAGCCTTGCCTGAGTCCCAACTGTCCATATAAGTATCAGGGAGAAGGAACTCACTGGGATATACCCTCCTAAGTAGCACATATGTGTACTCATTTCAGGTTTGCAATGAAAATTCTCTGTTCAAAAGTGAGGCCCGCTACCTGGTACGCAGGAAGGATCCAGAGCTGTGGACCCGTGTCCTTGCAGAGACCAACCCATCTAGGAGACACCTAATTGACCAGGTGAGACACAGAAAGCGGGTATATGCATGCCTGAATTTTGCCCACTATTCATCTTGTGGGCCAAGTGACTGGTTCATTATTATATTTAAACATATAGCTCTTACAAACCCACTGCCCTGCACAAGTCAACTTGCCTAGAAAAGGCTTGATTTCCAAGGGTGAATTGACTTGGAGTTGTTTATTAGCTAAGGTTACAGAGTTTACCCTTATATCTGAAACATGGCTGTGCCGCCCCTACAAAAGAATACTTGATGACAGGATCTGCATGCTAGATCCTGAGGTGTTTTTCCAACTCAGCCCCCTGTTGACATAAGTTGAGTGATTCTCAACATCTAGTCAACCCCATGCCCTTTTGACTATACAGTACCTCCTTGGAGCTGGAATATGGTGCTAGGGTCAGGGTCTTTATTAGGTGTGACCTAGTGGCAAGGGGAAGAAAGATTTGCCTCCACCTCTGGGTGAGCTTCCCATACCACCTGTCACAACCTTGCAGACATTAACAGTGTTTCTGTAGTCCTTAGGACAACAAGGCTGCTGAGCATACTGTTGAGGGATAGCCAAGACCAATGTGGTATTAAAACCCTTATCCAAGTGGCTTCAACGATGAGCATATATTCAATAAAGTCCCAGCCTTACTTGGATACCTAACAACATGCTGGTCAGGTACTTTAAACTCAAGGGCCAGATTTTACCTTATCTCTACTAACTTCCTTATTTTCTGTCTATAGTTCCTTCAAGCCTATGCCATTTTTAAGTAAACTTTTTATTTTGAAACACTTTTAGACTTACAGAAACCCATATTATTTTGAATATTAAGGCAACTTCAGACTTATCAATCTTGAAATTTGCCTGAAGACTTAATATACTTCATTCAAATCTCCTAAAACTTTGAGCAACAAAGGGCTTGGGACAAAGTTCATTTAGATTCCATAAGGATCTGTCTCCAAGTTCACAGACATCAGATGTTTCTTTAGGTGTAGTCACCCACCAGATACCCTCATGTTGGTTCTTGAGAAAGCAGCTTTGACACTGCACCAAACTAGAGCCAGCAGGGCCCCATGTATCCTTTTTTCTATGTGAAGCTGCTGGGCTAGTCATTATGTCTGCTCTAATTGATCATCTGTAGTCACCTCCTGGTAGGACACTCAACTATAATGCTCCTCTCATGGAGTACATGACAGAGGCAGACTGCTTTCGGTGTCTAAAGGAGAATTTTATACAAATTCCTTAAGGAAGCAGTGAGTGTCCTGAGGTAGCCTTCATTGGGCATCCTGTGTTAATTCAAGTAAAAGGTAGAAATTTATTTTTGCCCTTAAAACAACCTGTGGGGGTATATATATTTACACGAAGATTTTCAAGAACTGACAAGTGTCACTGTTGAGATGCCACAAAGTGTATCTCTTCTTTGGATGGACTTGGTGTGCTGTGCCACAGCGCCCCTCTTCCTCAAGTTTACTCCTTTTGATTACTTGGCTGCTGCAATGGCTTCTTCTCCCTTAACTCCTTAGCATGTTTATTGTGATTGTAAACTACTCAGAGATAGAACTTCCACCTTTCATGGTGCCATTGAGTACACAGAGGCCATCTGAGGGGTGGACTGGGCTCCCTTGAGAGGCTTCTTTTAGTCCTGTTTTGTGGCCAGAGGCATGTCAGCTCTGAGACCTCCCTAGCTGTTTGTTCTTTCTAATTAATACACTGCTGTTACCTGCCTCTGAGGAACACCAGAAACAGCAAAAAATTTAGATCCCCAAAGTCATTAAAGACCCCTGGTACAAGTGCAAAGAGAACACTGCTAATCTTCTAATTTGCTGTTATCGAGAACACCCACTCTTTGGAAAAGTGTCTTTTTTTCCTGTTTGTTAGTTTTTTGGTAGATGAGTCACTGGTAATTGGATGAGGAGTGGCATGGCCAGTCTTCTGTTGGTTTTTTTTTTTTTTTTTTAGATTGTGGTTCTTAGTGGCTTCTGGTGTCAAGGCTCTATAGCTCCAATTGCATGTGATGCATTCCCTGAAAGTGTACTGTGCCACAGCAGTGACAGTGCCCTCTGTTAGCAAGAAGCTGCTGGAGGCCTCTGCAGTGTCTTCATTAGAGAAACAGGGGCCAAGTTTGTTATGAATGGTGGCCTTACATAAGAAAGGTAACAGCAAATGTGCATTTCAAATATCTACTTAGTACACTGAGTTATTTGCTTTGGAATACACTTAGTGTAATCATTGGAACAGAGATGAAAGTCTGTTGCCCTTTTGTAAGAGAAAAACTAATTGTCAAAATTGGAAAACAGAATTCCCTAAAGTTGACTTTTCTAAGTTCTCTTCCCTTTTTTCCTTGAGAAAACTGCCCATTTTTCTCTGTGTCTGCTCCAGATCATCTTGGAGGAATTCTCCCCTTCTTTTTTACTTCAAAGATAGTCTTGAATTGACTTTAATCAGGTTCTTTCAAATATTTCTTAAAACCAGGTGGTACAAACAGCATTATCAGAAACACAGGATCCTGAAGAGGTTTCAGTCACTGTCAAAGCCTTTATGACAGCTGACCTCCCTAATGAATTGATTGAACTTCTGGAGAAGATTGTTCTGGATAATTCTGTCTTCAGTGAGCACAGGTAATGGTGTGCCGGGGAGGCCACCGCCACGGCTAAATTTAGACATCTTCTCAATAGTCACATTTTGTAATAATCTTGTCTTGCTTCACTCATCCATCAACTACTCCCCAGTCAGCCTTTTTACTACCTCCTATGTCTTCAGTTCACCCTTCCCTTATCTTATTTTAATTGTTGCAGGAAGGCTTTGTTATTCTAGTTCCCACTGTTCTGTAATCTCAATGCTCAGAGAAGGAAAGCTAACATTTGATGAGAACCTGTGGTTCTCAGTGGCTTCTGTTGTATGTAGCTTCAGCTAGTATGTTGCCACTTTAAAATCATCATCAGAATCTGTCAGGTTGTAATGTGTTCACATTATAAATCCTGGTATAAAGATTTAATTATAAGATTTTATAGGCCAGAAAGACTTTCGAGGGCTATGGTATTACAGAAAGGAATGTATGTAAGTTTTATGTTTTTAAATTTGTAAATGCTGAATGGTAAATATGGAATGTGTGATTACTGCATATTTCAATAGAATCATAAGCCCAGATTGATAAGAGAGTACCAGAAAGAAGGCACCCAGAGTAGTTAGGGTATTCTACCTTGCTGTCTGACCTACTTCCTTTGATGGTAGGTGTTGGCTTGTGGGTGCTTCAAGATGCTTCCAGATGACTCTGACTCTGCTGCCTCCATGAACACTGCTACTTTTCACAGATGCAGAGAGACTTTCACATTCTTGCTCTTCTTTCTGTGACTATTTCAGTAGACATAAATGAAAACAGCCTGGATTGGCAGTAGTACAGATCAGGTACCTAGAGACTTGGGCAGATCCTATCACTGGAAAAACTCCAAATTATAGGTGAATTAAAAACAAAACAAGTTTTGGAGTTAAAAAAAAATCAGAAACAGTGTGCAGCAAGTAAATAATGAAGTCTGCAATTAGAAAATGATAATGATGATGATAGCAAGAACTCAAAAAGAACACAGGTTGAGTTTTGCCAAACGCTGTTGAGCCCAGGCTGTGGTTCTCACAATAGGGGACAAAGAGACAAAGGCTAAGGGCCTACAAAAGATGTGACATCTAGCCACCAGGCACAATGGCTCACTCCTGTAATTCCTGTGACTTAGGAGCCTGAAACAGGAAGATCACAAGTTCAAGGCCAGCCTTAGCAACATAGCAAGGTCTTTCAAAGATCATTTGAATTGACTTTAATCCTTAGCCTCCCCAATGACTGGTATTAGAGATGAGTTCTACTGCATCAAGTTGTCTCAAAATAAAAATAAAAAGGACTGGGGATGTGGGGATGTGGCTCAGTGGTAAAGTGCCCTTGCGTTAAATCCCCAGCACAAAAAAGAAAAAAAAAGATGTGACATCTAATAAAAGGGAAGGGGAAAAAAAACCCTGAAAACAAAGATAAACTAAGAATTATTTAGCCCTCTGCTGAGAAAGACCAGCCAAATCAAAACAGTAAAGAAGCCAGGCACAGTGGCACATACCTGTAATCCTAATGGCTCAGGAGGCTGAGGCAAGAGGATCACAAGTTCAAGGCCAGCCTCAGCAATTTAGCAAGGCCCTAAGCAATTCAGTGAGACCCTGTCTCTAAATAAAATATAAAAAGCACCATACCTGGGTTCACAATGCTAGACTACGAGAACAAAACTGACCCCAATAAGCTGGCCCTTTCATGGGTTTTAACAAAATTTTACTTTCAACATAGTATTAGAAATCTTCAAGTCAGGAATTTTCAGGAAGCATCCTAAGATCTCTGCCAAAGACAAATACAAAGATTTCTAACAGAAAGCATTCCAAGAAATAATGAATTCATAATAAAAACATTGACAGGGGCTGGGGTTGTGGCTTAGTGGTAGAGTGCTTGCCTAGCACATGTGAGGCACTGGGTTCCATCCTCAGCACCACATAAAAGATAAATAAATAAAATAAAGGTATTGTGTCCATCTACAACTAAAAAAATATTTTTAAAAAATTGACAGAATTCACAGAGAAACAAAGCAACTTTAGTAAGAGCCTACAGTAACAGTAGAATGAGACGTGCAAAAATGTAGACATTGGGATTATCAAGCATAGAATGTAAAATTACATGTAAATTTTTTCCCTCAATACAGGGGATTGAACTCAGAGGTACTTTATCACTGGGTTTATCCCCAAACCTTTTTTTATTTTTTTACTTTGAGATAGAATCTTTCATTCTTTACCAAGTCCGGCCTCAAACTTGCCATCCTTCTACCTCAGACTCCCCAGTAGCTAGAATTACAGGCATGCAATCAATACCACATCCAGCTATCTGTAAAGTTTTTAAATATCAAAAAAACGATCAAGCAGATTTTTCAAAGGACCAACTAACTGAGACACACACACATTTATTTTGAAGTAAACCTCAATGTGTTTAGCACCATTACAGAATAAATGTTTGGGGAGATAGATTTGAAGAAAATATACAAGTATAGCTAAAAAAGTATGAAAAGAAAATGTGAAAAGGTTTAAGAGATGCAGAGGTTGAAAGGAAATCTAGTCAGAACATCAGAAAAAGCCTAGAATGAAAGATGCTATTTGCAGGGAAAGAATTATGGTGATTTTACAAAATTGACAAGATTATAGCTTTCAGATTTAGGAAGCTCAATAGATCAGATCCCGAGGAGAAAAAAAAAAATTTTTTTTTTGCACTGGGAATTAAACCAAGAGGCATTTTATTACTGAGCTGCATCTTATCCCTTTTTATTGTATTTTGGTACAGGGTCCTGCAAAGTTTCCTATGCTGGTCTTGGACTTGCTATCCTCCTGCCTTAGCCTCCCCAATGGCTGGTATTAGAGATGAGCTCTACCGCACCCAACTAAAAAAAAAAATTGTGTGCCTAGCTTGTGCAAGGGCCTGGGTTTGATTCCTAGCATCACACACATAAAAAGTAACTATCAACTTAGAACTGTATACTTTTATAAATTAAGAGAAAGGTAAAATAGAGGTCTCTTTATATAGATTTAATGAAAAACTTTGTGAATAACAGATGTATGCTAAAGGAAATACTAACAAGTGTCTTTTAGGCAGAAGGAAGCAGTCCCATGTGGGGATAAGAAGGAATAAAGAGGGGCTGGGGTTGTGGCTCAGCAGTAGAGCTCTCGCCTAGCACATGCAAGGCCCTAGGTTCGATCTGCAGCACCATATAAAAATAAATAAATAAAGATATTGTGTTCAACTAAAAAATAAATATTTTTTTAAAAAAGAAGGAACAAAGAACAAAATAGTATTGACTATATAAAGAAAAAAATCATGGGTAGAAAAAAGGGAATAAAAATTGATAATAGCTTGAATATAAGTTGGTAGGTAATATTTTAGGGTCCTTTTAAAGATAAATATAATAACTAACTTTAGTCTTTTATGAGTTAATTATTCATGTTAAAATTTCAAGCAGAACCATGAAAAGACCAGAGTACCTAACTTCTAAACTAATTGAAGAATGAAAGAAATGGAATGAGAAAATTATCAATCTAGCCAAGTGCAGTGGTGCATGCCTCTAATCCCAGAAACTCAGAAGACTGAGGCAGGAGGATTGCAGTTTCAACCTCAACTTCAGCAACTTAGCAAGACCCTGTCCCTAATTTTTTTAAAAAAAGAACTGGGGATATATCTCTGTGGTAAATCACCCCTGAGATTCAATAACCAGTACTGAAAAAAATAAAAGAAAATTATCAACCAAAAAGAAGGCTAAGAAAGGAGATGAAGAAAAAAGAAAAGGTAGGAACACATTGCAAAGATAAAATGAAACGGTAATCCCCAGCACCACCAAAAAAAGAAGAAGAAGAAAAAGGGATGGTAGAAGTAAATCTACATATGGCAGTAATTATATTAAGTGTAAATGGATCACATATTACAAATACAAGACTTCAGATGCTCCAAATTAGATAAAGAAATAAAACCATGAACATATTGTTGGTAAAACATAAGGGAGTCAAAAATAAAAGAATGAAAAAATAATATAGGTAAATGCCAAACCCAAAAACACTTGTATATATATGTTATATTAATAATACATAAAATAGACCTTAAAGTAAAAAGCATTATTGATGTAAAGAGGGCCAAGTGCATAATGATGAAAGATTTCATCATCAGGAAGATTATTCCAAACATATGCACTTAATAATACAACCTCAAAATATAAGGAAACAGAAATTGATAGCTATAAGGAGAAAAGCAAGTTCATCATATAGGTAAATATTAATATACCTCTCCAAGTAGTGATAGAACAATTAAATTTTTAAAAATAAATATATTAAAAGGATCCTGTGTTCAAAAGAAAAAGTATATATATAAAAAACACAATAGTAAATGTATTTTGAAGTAAATATAACTGTTGACAGTTAATTGCATTCTAAGTTTACTTAAATGAATTTACATATAATTGAATTATAATTCAATAAGTAGACAGGCTTATTAGAGAAAAAAACAACCAGAAGACAGTAAAGAACAAAGTGAACTTCTACAGTCCTTTTCACTCAGCCATAGTTAACAGCCTGGTGTAATTCATGATCAGAAGACCCTGACTAAAGACATCAGTTTTACCCATATCAGTCAAATCTGATGCAATGCCAGTAATCCCTATTTATTTACTTAGGGAACTTTATATATATAAAAGCCAAAAATAGTCAAGATCCTACTAAAACAAATAATTAATTACCCAAGAGGTCAAAATGGGTGTTAGGGTGGTAAAGTACTAATCCTAATCTACAATTACTGTAAAACTAAAGAAGGCATAATGATTTTGGCAAAGAAAGGGAGAAATAGACCATTATAATAGAATGAAGAGCGTTCCAGGAGAATTGCAAGTTCAAGACCAGCCTCAGCAACTTAGCAAGACCCTGTCTCAAAATTTAAAAGGGCTAGGGATATTACTAAGTGGTAAAGCTCCTGTGGATTCAAATCCCACGACCAAAAAATTAAAAAAGTAATAGCTGGGTGTAGAGGCACTATAATCCCAGTGATGCAGGAGACTGAAGCAAGAGGATTGTAAATTTGAGGCCAACCTTGGAAATTTAGGGAGATTTCTGACTCAAAATAAAAGGGCTGGGAATGCAGCTCAGAGGCAGAATGCCCCTGGGTTCACTCTCCAGTCCTCTGGCCCCCACCCCTGCCGGAAAAAAAGAAAAAGAGCTATAGATACCTACATATTATTTAAAATGTGTATTTGTAACCAAGCTGGCAATGTAGATGGAAACAAACTTTTCAATAAATAGTTGGGTTATCTAGTTGGAAAATATTTTTAAAATATTTAAATCTTTCATATTATGAAAACATTAAAGATAAAATGCAAAACTATAACGTTATTACCTTTCATATTTGAAGAGTATTTATGATCTAATAAGTTATTTAGCCAGGAACACATTAAAAAAATCATAAATCTTTAGTGAAAAACCAGTAGGACTATTAAGAACTTTTATCATAAAGATAAGGGAAAATATAAATGGAAGGAAGACATTTGCAGCAGATTCAATGAGAGAAAAACATAAGCAACCCAATTAAAAAAAAAAAAAAAAAGAGTTCTCAACAGGCCCCTTAATGAGAGGAAAGACATCTAGTGAATGTCAGGCAAGAACTGAGCCTCAATAGCCATAAAGGAATTACAGGGTGAGGCCACACTACATCATCCTTTGCTTCTGCCAGAGCAGTGGGAGTCTAGCTTTCCTGATCAGCACTGATGAGGATATAAAGTAACCGGGCCTCTTACATGCCCCTGCTGGGAATGCTCATTACACTCAGAAAGTAGTTTGATGCCAGAAGCAGCATCTACCCAGCAACTTCCTCTCTTGGTTACGAACCCTAAAGGAACTCAGTTCACATGTATTAGAGAACATGTGCAAGACTACTTAAAGGAATATGGTTTCCAGTAGCAAAAATCTTAGAGCAATTTGGAAAACCATCAATAGATAGATTTTGATATAGTCATAAATTAGAATACCAAGTAGCAGTAGAAAATGAATACTATACAACTGCATGGATGATTGTTTTTTTCAGTAGCTGGGATTGAACTCAGGGGCACTTACCCACTGAGCCATATTGTGGGGAGCCATTTTCACACGTGACTGGGTGACTCCCGGTTTTGGTCTGAGGCTTCTGTCTGTTTCGGAACTTTCCCGGCCCTTTCCTGATGAGAGAACCCGTCCATGTGGGGGTGTGACTGACCACTGACCCTGGGGGCCCAATCACTGACCCTGACCTTGGAGTGCAGTCCCCCCTCAACCTTCATTGGATGGAATTATCCCCTGAATTTCTTGTTCCCCAATAAAAGGCTACTCCCTGGCGTGCTCTCTCTCTCTCTCTCCTGCTAGCCCTGAGTAATCCTTGCTGCCCTGCTGGGCGGTTAGAGGTCGGAGCCAGAGAGGGGAGCCGTCTCGGACCTGGCAATAGAAATAAGGTAACTGAGTCTGTGTGTTTTATTTTGATCTCTTATAGCTAACTTTTATGCCAAGAACCTCATTAATGAAACCATTGTGCAGGCCGCATGGTGGACCATATACCCAGCACTATTTTGTATTTTATTTATAGAGAGTCTCACTGAATTGCTTAGCACCTCGATTTTTCTGAGGCTGGCTTTGAACTTGCAATCCTCCTGTCTCAGCCTCCCAAGCCACTGGGATTATAGGTATGCGCAACTGCGCCCAGCTGCATGAATGAATCTTAAGAACTAACTTTAGCTTTATTTTTTTATTTTTCTTTTCTTTTTCTTTTAATCACCATATAGTAAAATTGACCAAGAGTTGGGATTATGTATAGTACTAGGAATTTTAACACTTGTATAGATTCATATGACTACCACAATCAGGATGCAGAATAGTATCATCACCTTCAACTCTGTGCTAGCCACCCTGTATAGTTACATTTCTCTTCAACCTCCAGTTTCTAACACCTGGCAACCACCCGTCGCTCTTGTTTTGCCTTCTCCAGAATGTCATATAAATAGAATCACACAGTATGTACTCTTTTGAGACTGGCTTTTTCACTCAGCATAATGTCTTTCAGATTCATCCAAGATATTGTATGCATCAGTAGTTTATTTTTTTAATTGCTGAATGATATTTTGTTATATGAATGTACCATAGTTTAACTGTTCACCCACTGAAGGACATTTGAGTTATTTTCAGTTGGGGTAAATATGAATACATTTGTGTCCAGGTTTTATACCCAGTAATCACTGGGTCATCTGCTTTGTGTGTGTTTAACTGTTTAAGAAACTGCCAAACTGTTGTTTTCCAGAATGGCTGTAACATTTTGCATTCCCACCAGCAATATGTGAGAGTTCCAGTTGCTGTGCGTCTTCACCAGCACTTGGTATTATCAGTGTTTTTTATTTTAGCCATTTTAATAAGTATATAGTAGCATATCATTGTGGGGTTTTTTTTTGGTTGTTGTTGTTTGTTTTTGAAGAGTTTTACCCATTCTTTAATATTCATTGAAATACAAAATATGTTTTTTGAATTTTCATAATAAAACTAATATATTTTTTCTGTCCATTTTCTTGTAAATTAACCTCAAAATTACTCCAATGCAACCGACATAGATCAATGGAACAGAATAGAGAGTACAGAAATAATCTATAGAATATGATCAATTGACTTTTGACAAAGGGCCAGAGCAATTGAGTATGAAAAATTGCTCTTAAAAAAGTTGTGCTCAAAGTATCTTCATGATTAGAATTCTGTATTTTTCCTATAAAATTAATCTTTTCTCATTTTCAAATGTAGAATGGTATATTACCATTTAGAAATATTTCCTGTACTTGGATTTATTGGTAACTGTATCATTGTCGTTTTAATTTGCATTTCCCTAATGGCTAAAGATGCTGAACAATTTTTATGTGCTTATTTAACATCCACATATCCTTCTTGGTGAAATGTTACTTCGAATCTTTTTCAGTTGGGTTGATTTTTTTTTTCAGTTTGAGAGTTTCAAGCCCTTTATTAAATGTAATTTAACATATATTTTTCTCATTCTGTAATTCCCCTGTTTGTTCTCTTAGAGTTGTGATGGGAATTAAACCTAGAGTCTGGTGCTTGCTAACCAAGTGCTGTAACACTGAGTTGTCTCAACAGCCAGTTTTAATTTTGATAAAGTCCAATTCATGAACTTTTTAAAAGTTTTTTTTAGTTTTTGGTAAACATGATATCTTTATTTATTTATTTTTATGTGGTGCTGAGGATCAAATCCAGTGTCTCACACATGCAGGGCAGGTGCTCTACCACTGAGCTATAGCCCCAGCCCAAGTCATAAACTTTTTGGGGGCTGTGATTTGGTGTTAAATTTAAGAATTCTGTGCCTAATCCCAGATCAGAAAGATATTTTCCCTGTGTTTCTTCTAAAAGTTGAGTATTTTTTCATTTTATAATATAGTTCTATGGTCTAATATCCAATAAGGTATAATGTTTAGGGTGAGGTTCATCTTTTTACATATGACTATTCAGTCATTCCAGCATTATTTATTGACTATTGTCCTATCTCTGTTGAAGTGCTTTTGTATCTTTTGTCAAAAATCAGTTGATCAGGGCTGGGGCTATGCCTCAGCAGTAGCACTTGCCTAACACGTGTGAGGCCATGGGTTCCATCCTCAGCACCACATAAAAATAAATAGATAAAATAATGGTATTGTGTCCAACTACAACTAAAAAATAATTATTAAAAAATCAGTTGATCAGGTAGTATGATTCCCTCAGCTTCATTTTTTTTTCAAAATTGTTTTAGCTATTCCAATTCCTAGAATAAGCTTGTGAGTTTACAAGAAAATCTGCTGAGACTTTGATTGGAATTTCATGAAATCTGTGTACCAATTTAATTTAGGGGAAATTTACATCTTTTACTATAGAGAGTCTATGAAAGCAGTATGTCTCTCCATTTATTAAATAGCTCATTGCTTTCTTCAGCAAGTTACAGTTTTTGACGTACAGATTATGTACATGTTTTATTAAATATTTCTAAATATTCCACAGTTTTAGAGCTATGAAATAGTTTGTTGTGGGTTTTTTAACTTAACAATTGTATATCACTAAACATTGCTCATATATAGAAATACAGTTAATTTTTGTATGTTGACTTTATATTCTACAACCTTGCCAAACATTAATTTTGGGGATTTTTTTTTATAGATTCAAATGAGATTTTTAAAAATCAATCATGCACATTGGGACAGTTTTATTTCTTCCTGATCTAGATGCTTTCGTATCATTTTATGCTTTGAATTAAACCTCCTGTGTAATGTTAAAGAGAAGTGGTAGAAGTGGACATCCTTGTCTTGTTCCTGATCCTAGAAGAAAGCATCCAGTGTCTCACTATTACTGATAATGTTAGTTCTGAGATTTGGTTGATGTCCTTCATTAGACTGAAGAAGTTCCTTTCTATTTTTTGTTGAGAATTTTTATCACTAACAGTTACTGGATTTTGTCACATGCTTTTTCTGAATCATTTGATAATGATCTTGTGGTATTTTTTTTTTTAGTTTCTTGATATGTGATGCATTACATTGATTTTTTTCACATTTTTGTGAAAAAAATTACCTGTATTATTTAGGAGTGTAGAAGATGTGGTAAAACTATAAAGGATCACAAAGAGCAGTAGACACCGTTAAGAAGATTGTTACCTTTGAAGTGGGGAACAGATGCTGGGCTCCTATGAAGGCAGAGCCACCCTCACAGTAACTGCCCATGTTGATTCTCTTAGTGGTGCTTTCCCAAGACATTGCCGTATTATTTCTCTTTAGATTCCATTTGCTGCATAAATATTCTATTGTATCTACTTATCAATCATGTATGTGTATTAGTTACTTTTTTTTTAAAAAAAAGTTAGGGATCTTGGTCTGCTGTGTGGGGCCTTCATTCCTGGGCATCATGCTGAGCACTTCCTCTTCTCAGGAATCTCCAGAATCTGCTGATCCTGACTGCCATCAAGGCAGATCGAACACGGGTCATGGAGTATATCAGCCGCCTCGACAACTATGATGCTGCAGACATCGCAAGCATTGCCATCAGTAGTGTGCTGTACGAGGAGGCCTTCACCATCTTCTACAAGTTTGGTGTGAATGCCTCAGCGATCCAGGTGGGCTGCTGCAGGCATGTTGTCTTAAGCCCATGCTGTGCTGCACTGCATGATTCATCTCGGGGCCTTGTCATTCACAGAGGGTATCAGACATTCAGGTCATCCAGTGTATCTCTTGGATGCTTGTACTTCTCTCTGCTCTTCCCAGCCTGTCATCTCCTTGCCTTCACCTTCTCTGCTGTTATTCCTTCTGCTCCATGGCACTCTTCTGGACTTAGGTACCTACGGTACTGAGGTCAGCCCTGGTGACTTGGGTGTTTGATTTTTGGAGGTTCTCATACCTTAGCTTTTTACCACCATCATGCTTCATCTACCTATGCTCCCAAGTTACAGGAACCATTTGGTATCTAAGGTTAAGCTCCCAGAGCAATCCTTCCAGCCCTTTCTGCCTATCCTTCCACCAAAGTACCCATCTTCCCTGTGAGACTTTATTTTAGATTTTTTGTAGTGCTATGCATCTAGGCTAGCGCCTCACACATGGAAAGCAAGTGCTCTACCACTGAGCTACATCCTCAGTCCTCTTTTATGATTTTATCTCCAAATCAATTATAAACCACAGGACATATCATTGTAATTACTCCTTTTACAAATATTCTTCACTTTTCTTGCCTCTTCCTTTACCATTCTTCTATACTTGCCTGTGAATCTTATGATCTGGAAGCTGAGGCTGACCTCAAACATGCAGTCCTCCTGCGTCAATGGGATTACAGGCACACACCACAACATTTCCATTTCTTTATACCTTTCTATTAGAATGTCTCTTCTCTGTCTAGGACCACCCCCTAATCCACCAACTCTTATCTTTTCATCGGTTCACTCACCTAGTGCCCAGCTGTGTTGAAATGGTCATGCAACTCTAGGCAGAATAGGCAACCAAACAGATTTTTCTGCACTTTGGAGCTGACTAAGTGTTGTGGAAAAGCAAGTCCTCTTGTAACCTCTAGGTTCTGATTGAGAATATTGGAAACCTAGACCGAGCATACGAGTTTGCAGAAAAATGCAATGAGCCTGCTGTGTGGAGTCAGCTGGCCCAAGCACAGCTTCAGAAGGACTTGGTGAAGGAAGCCATCGACTCCTACATCAGAGCAGATGACCCTACCTCTTACCTGGAAGTTGTTCAGGCCGCCACCAAGAGCAGTAAGTAAATTCCCATTCCAGGGGCACTTTTTATCACTGGTGTGAAACCTGACTGAGACAAGAAGTTGAAGAACTTCTCAGGAATATCTGTGTATTATGCATCCAGATATAAGAGTCTGAGATTAGTAATACTCTGTTAATGACACTAGCTTTCCAGACTGTTGCCCCCCCTTTTTTTTTAACAAGGTTAGGCAGCTTAAGCATTATAGATGATAACTGTTGTAATTTTAAGGTCACTGACTTATGCTCACTTTCCTGGGTATCTGGTGTATCTAGTTTTTGGTGGCACTGACCTCTCCAGGGACTAGAATTAACTTCCTGCCCCCTCGTAACATTTTTGCAAGGTTCCAGTTCCCAGGGGTAGCTTGCTTGTGGCACTACCCCCTTCCCTTTCTTCCTCCTGGAGTAGGGCTCTGCTTATGGGTACAGCTAAGACCTTTTAGACATTTCCTGGAGCCTGAGCTCTCCATGAGACATAATGGAGAGGGCAAATATGTCTGACTGAGGGCAGAATGGGAGGAACTAAGCCCCTATTTAAAATGATCAGCTCTGGGCACCGGGCAGGGCGGCCTCTTTGTCGTATGGGAGTGCTGGAGTAGGCCGGTGGTGGAGAGCAGCACCATGTCCTGGTCAGCGGGGTGAAGAGCTCATACTTGAAGCACTATGAGGAGCCAAGCTGAGACACGCCATGCTTTCATGAAGCTATTGGAGCAGGCACATGCTCCCAGGCTCAGAGACACCTGGATCCCAGTCTGCACCTCAAAGATTGGACCTGGTAGGCAGAATAGTGCCCCAAGCCTGGGTGCTGGCTCACTGAAGCCTCCACGATTGAGGAGTCGGAGTGGCCTATAGGGGAGCACAGAGAGGCACGGCGCAGCCAGCACTACCAGTGAAAGATGTATAAGAAAACCCTAACAAAAAACCAGAGCAAAAGAGACTGACAAATTACCCTCCAGCATAATTTGCTAGAGGAAATAGGAAAGCAAGTCAGAAGTCCCCAAAGATTATCCAGTAAATTAAAACAAGCACCTGTTTTCTCTTTATGGCTGGGGAGAAAGAAAAATGAACACCGGAAGCCAGAAGACACATCAGTGTGTGTGCCCAGGTGCATGAGATTTACAAATCAGCTTTATAAGCCAAGAAAAAGAGGAAGGTGGAGAACAGGAAGGTGGAGGTCCCCTCTGCAGAGAGATGGTGGGTGATGGAGTACATACACCCCATTACTCAGCAACAGCTTAGACATGTGCCTCCTAAAAAGTTGACCAAGGGACAAGATTGTCCATGAACACTGAAAAGGACAGAGACCATCCATCACACAAGGTCTGGAACAGCCAGAAGTCTATTGTGCGGATGAATTTTGTCACCTACCTCAGCAGTAGAGCAGAATGTTGAAGCCATAACACTCAGTTGCTTGTGAAGACAAGCCCCCAGACCCTGTTATTCCTTTTTTTAAAAAAGATTTTTTGATAACTTTATTTTATTTAGTTATTTTTTTATGTGGTGCTGAGGATTGAACCCAGTGCCTCACACATGCTAAGCAAGCACTCTACCACTGAGCCACAACCCCAGCCCAACCCGTTATTCTTGTAAGAGTTGTTTCAGAGTGTCTTCATTTTTGAGGTACCAGATACCTTTAAACGGCTAGAGGTTTCCCTCCAGCTTTGGCTGGTAGAGGTGGGAGGTGTTACCAGTCCTAGGGACCATGCATCTGGCCTCTGAGGTCTACTAGACTTGGTTTTTTTTTTTCTTTCTTTTTTAATTGGCACATTATAATCATACATACCTGTGGATAATATATTGATCCACTAGACTTGTGTTTACTGAGGTACAAGTGGTTCCCTTTGTGAAAGAGTACCAAGTAAGCAGCACTCAACCATGACCTTGGGTCCATGTGTAGAGGACCTAGGACAGTCAATGGCTACTGAAAAGTTAAAGACTGTTTATATTTCAGTTCACATCACCTTACAGTAAATTGTGGTTTCCTGAGCTAGGCAAAGCCACCTCTTCTCTGTGAATGGTCATCTAGGCACTTAATAATTTAATAGTTAAAATATATTCCAGTGAATGAAATGTTAGTTCACTGTGTGTTTAGGGTAGTAATGAAGTTTCTTTTGAGTCAGTGTCACATCTTTTTAATTACAGGTTTTTTTTTTTTTAGACCATGTAAGGTACAACCACTTTATGCACCTACCGTGGACTCTAGGTTCTTTGACTCTAGGTTCTTCTGTAATAGCTGGCAGAACGTGTAGAATTGTAATCTGAAATCACATGTAATGAATTGAGAATAGGCCCTTGGAGTGGGGACAACGGAAGACACCATTAGAGACATTGCCCACTCCACTTTAACTGCTCTTTCTTCTACAGAACTTAAAGTCTTGATATGTGCAATATTCATGCATTAGGTTGAATACGTCAGTTTTTGATTCCTGGCCAGTCTTACCTGTACCTTACTAAGAGTGCGGTGGAGCGTGAGCAGGCACAGCTATACAACAGTGCTGCTTCCTTTAGTGTGTTTGCCTTTATAGTGGAAAGCAGTCTTCACAGAAGCTCATTTCCATCAAATTATAGGCCTGTTCATGCAGCAAGGACTGTCCTGGAAGGGATGATCAAGGTGCTTGGCCTCCAGCTTAGCATCTGCAGGCATGAATGGAAAGCTGGTGTTGGACATGAAGCTGAGCATGCCTTGGTTTTTCACTCTGGATCTTTGAAGTGCAGTGGTTCTTAGAACACAAACTAGCTTCATTCCACAACAGTGTAGCTGGTGTTCAGACTTCTGTAAAGCCATGGCTTAGCCAGTTTCATCCACCCAACCCAGTAACAATATCAGAAAGATAGCTGGGAGTGTAGCACCTGGAGCCCACTCCCTCCAGCCTATGAGCAGCCAGAATCCTCAAAAACACACTTGTATTTGTGCACTTACCACTGAAAACCAGGCAGAAGTGAATCTGGAAGGCATATTGACCAATTCCCTCCCGCTTCTTTCTAAGTAGAAGACAAATGAACAAGATTTTATAAGGAATTTATGATATGAACAATGAATCACTGAGTGTAAGCAGTTGTGGATCCTCCTATGTCCAAGTCCTTGATGATTGAGATCAGTCTTCTCTCTTTTAAAAGGTGGCAGCTTCCTGTTGAGCCTATGAATTTTAAAAGTTGTAAAATTTGATTTTCTACTTTTTTCTTATTGGGAACTGATGTGGTTGTAATTATGTTCCTAATTCTTGGAACATATCGCAAATCAGTGAGATAGTTTCAAGCTGCCTTCCATATTGGAAAAATCTAAAACTTGTTTTTTTCTTGAGAGTCCAGTATTTTTTTTAAATAAATGCTACATAAGTCTTTTTAAATTTTGGCTTTAAGTTCTTAATTAAAACAACTTGCCATAAAAAAAATTTAAACATAAAATATGAGTTAACCTGACTTTGCTCTCTGTCCTTAGACAACTGGGAGGATCTAGTGAAATTCCTGCAGATGGCTAGGAAAAACAGCCGTGCATCCTATATAGAGACTGAACTTATTTTTGCATTGGCTAAAACCAGCCGTCTGTCTGAGCTAGAAGATTGCATTAATGCACCCAACAATGCCAACATCCAGCAGGTAGGATGTGCCTCCTGGGGACCATGAACTTCTGCAGCCAAAATTAGGTCAGGGGAATGCTCCTTAGAGTGATGTAGATTCTTTTCTGGAGGCAGAGGATACTGGGGATTTAACCCAGGGGCAATTTACCACTGAGCTACATCCTTAGCCCTTTTTATTTTTTGAGACAGGGTCTCACTAAATTTCTTAGGGCCTAAGTTGCTGAGGCTGGCTTTGAACTCTCAATCCTCCTGTCTCAGCCTGGGATTACAGTCATAGGCCACTGCCCACACCCACCCTCTGCTGTGATGTAGTTTGTTTTTTTTTTTTTTTTTGGTGGGAAGGTACCAGAGATTGAATTCAGGGGCACTCAACCATTGAGCCATATCCCCAGCCCTATTTTGTTTTTATTTAGAGACAGGGTCTCACTGAGTTGCTTAGCACCTCACTTTTGCTGAGGCTGGCTTTGAACTCAAGATCCTCTTGTCTCAGCCTCCCTAGCCACTGGGATTATAGGCAGGCACCACTGCGCCTGGCTTGTGATATAGATTTTTGATGGTGTAGAATAAGCCACAGAGGAACTGAGGTCTCAGCCCAGTGGTAGAGCACTTGCCTAGCATGTGTGAGGCACTGGGTTTGATTCTCAGCACCACATATAAATAAATAAATACAAATGAAGGTCCCTTGACAACTAAAAATTTTTTTAAAAAAAATAAGCTACATAGTAACTTGTTACTGTCATTGTTATAGATATTAAAACCCAGGGCATTTGACTTGCACTTAGCTATACACATCAGAATGGCCCTCAGAAGAAGAGATGTTAGGACTTACTTTCAGCTATTCTGTTTACCCGAAAAAACAAGATGATCTGGCTCACTCATAACTAATAATCTGGATACATAAATGATACATGTTGAAAATAACATTATCATATGTCAGATGACCTAATGGGGAAAAAGTATTCCTTTTTAAATGAAATAAAATCAAAATTTTTAAATAAACCCTAACCAAATTTTTAAAAAGAACACTAAATGAAAGATGTAAATAATTTATAATCTTCCACAAAGGTAAAATATTAATCCTGCAAAGTGATAGAGAGATGAAGGGATAATGAACATGTATGCTAAACCAGGTGTGGTGGCACACACACCTGTAATCCCAGCCACTCAGGAGATTGAGACAGAAGGATCACAAGTTCAAGGATAGCCTAGGCAATGAAGCAAGACTCTATCTCAAGATAGAGTGCCTATGGGTTCAATAAATACCTAAAAGAAAGAAAGAAAATATATTCTGTACAGCAATTACAGTGTCCTTTTTTAATGATTTTTAAAATTTATTTTGCATTACATTTCTTAATACACCATTATACAATAATTTATCATATATCTGATTATATATAAGGTATGTTGACACCAAATTCACATCTTCATACATGTATTTTGTATAATGATGAGAGTCTCCTTTCACCATCCATGCTATTCCCCTTCTCCCTCCCTTTCCCTCCCACCCCTATTCCCTATCTAGAGGTAATCTTCCTTTCTTGCTCTCCCTCCCAACCCCTTTTTGAGTCACCCCCCTTATATCAGAGAAGACATTACACATTTGTTTTTTTGGGGATTGGCTAACTTCACTTAGCATAATCTTCTATAATGCCATCCATTTCCCTGCAAATGTCATGATCATATTCTTTTTTTATTGCTGAGTAATATTCCATTGTGTATAAATGCCACATTTTTTTATCCATTCATCCAGTGAAGGACATCTAGGTTGGCTCCACAGTTTAGCTGTTGTGAATTGTGCTGCTATAAACATTGATGTGGCTGTGTCCCTGTAATATGCTATTTTTAGGTCCTTTGGGTATAGTCCTTTTCTTGAAAGATTGTACATAGTTCATTGAAATAACACAAAAGTAGACTTTAAATTTCAAAATAAATTCTAACTAACTAGTTGTTGAAAATTAGGTTAATGTTTTGAAAGGGATTTGAAGTTCATCATATAATTCTATATCCAAAATAACAATCCATATGAAATATTGAAAAGGAAAAGTATGTTCCTTGACAAAAATTTTAAAAATATTTATTTGAATCTTTGCATTAAAAGGGAGTTTTTAAACATGTATGCAGTAGAAGAAAGCACAAAGGAAAATATTTATTCAACATACTGTTGTTGACTTTTTGCTCTGTGCCAGGGCACAGAGCTGTAAATGAAACAATGAAAATAATAATCAAATTTCTGCTCCCATTAAGACATTATTATAGGGCTGGAGTTGTGGCTCAGTGGTAGAGCGCTTGCACATGTGAGGCCCTGGGTTCCATCCTCAGCACCACATAAAAATAAATAAATAAATATATAAAAATACATTATTACATATTAAATGGTAAGTATAAAAGGGAAAAATGAGGTGGAGCAGCTGGATGGGTATTCTAGTGTTAGGTCCCCTTGGTAGGGGCTGAGTCATCATCCCTTTGTGGTGGTGAGAAAGGGGGGTTAGAGCACAGAGGAGGGTAAGTTCAGGGATCTCTCATGGAGTGTTTGGGTATGTGCAGTAGCAGTATGAAGATGGTCAGGGTGACTGGAGCCTTAGAGCCAAAACAGCAGACACAGTAGGGAAGCATTTTTTGGCCTCTGCAAGTTGGGACTCTGGCTTTCCTCTGGGTGAGAGTGACAGATTTCAAGCAAAGGAGGCACACGATCTGCTCTAGATAGAATGCTAACAGGAGTTGATGGTGACAGCACCCAGAATGTGGTCAAAGTGAGTGGCAAAGCATATTTCACCTCTGGATATGTCTCAGAGGAAGAGTTGACAGGATTTGCCAACAACTTGGTGTGAGAAGAATAAAGCAAGGGTGAGTCCAAGTTTTGATAGCATAAGGGCTTGTGCTTTCTGAGGCAAGCAGTATAAAGACTGCCTTGGGAAAGTAAGGGCTTGAATAATCTGATCTCTACTAGATGCCACATGGATCTGTATAGCTGGCTGGAAGAGTTAGATTTATTAGAAGTCCAGACCAAAGATGTACATGTGGCAGCCTGCAGTACACAAACAATACTCAAAGTCACTGCCTGTAGGAGAGCATGGCAGTGGGGGTATGGTGTGAGGTGCAATGGGCCACAGCAGAAGTTAGGACACCTCAAAACCTAGCAGCAGGGAGAAATAGAATGAAAAGTGGCCAGAGGAACAGGACCATTTTCTGGGGGATCAATGTCCCTGTCACAGAGTCAGGGACAAGAGACTGAGGGGAGTAGACATGTAGACAGCTCTCCTGAAAAATGTTGTTCTGAAGGTTAGAAACAATGGCAGCCATCCAATAAGGTAAGGCCAAATGAGTAGGATTTGTTTTCTTTCAAGTTAGGGGAAGGAACGGTGGTTCCTTAAACTCACAGGAGTTGTTTTTTATAGAAGTTGATACTGATGCGGGTTTCTGGGACCTTGGGACCCTGATGAGGAACAGAAGAGGTCAGGAGTCAAGTGCATCAGTTGTGATGGCAGATGAGGTTGTGGTGGCATGTGAGGTGGATAGCCATAGGCATGGTACTGCATCAGGCCTCTTCTGATGATTTCTGTTTTTTCAGAAAATAGGAAGCCAGGAACTGGCTCCACTGAGGAACTGTGGAGGTTTGAGAAGAGAAGATATGAAGTGATTGACCAAGAGAAAAGACATGGAAGGAAGGAGAGTTATAATATTATGAATTTGTCTGAGTTTCATGGTCATGAATTCAAAGAGACCTGTAGGCTGGGCACCGTAGCACTTGCCTATAATCAGAATTGTGAGTTTAAGGTCAGCCTCAGCAACTTAGTGTCCCTATCTCAGAAATAAAAAGGGCTGGGGATATAGCTTAATGGTAGAGCACCTCTGGGTTCAATTTCCAGTACCACAAAAATGAATTAATAAATAAATGAAGGAAGGAAGGGAGCAAGGGAGACCCATCAACACTTTGAGCTTCAGCTCTCTCTGTATAGCTCAGTATTCCCAAGTGTAGAATGTGAAAAAAGTTGGCTCTACACAGAATGGAAAACAACTAAGAATGTTGAGGGTAAATGCCAAGAACCACAAACTTGACTACAAGCTGCCAGCATAAGGTGGCACAGTCAAGGAGGGCAGAAGGGACAGTGGGAAGTTAGTGGAGTCACTGGACTGGTGAATCTGAAGTGCTTGGGACAGTGTGCTGGACAGGAGTCAGTTCTGGGCAGAGTGTGTGAACCTGTGACAGGAGTTCACAGGGTGACTGTATAAGGGTTAGGGAATGGCCATGGAAGTGATGGGATGCTATCATGAGGAAGACAAGGTCCTCAGCGCAGAGGAAGTCAAAGAATGTATTAAGGAACAAAGAGGATATATAAATGGCAGCAGGAATGAGGACTAGTGGGTGATTCTGACACAAGTTTCTCAGCAGTTTTTAGTAGCAAGGAAGGGAAGAACCTGGAGCAGCAAGGAATATACCTCAATCCAGGCCAGTGGGGTACAGGTGTAGGAGGTAACATCCAGGGCCTGAGAGGTGCTGGAACACATAGTAACATAGGAACTCGCAGGCAGAGGCTGCCCCATGAGAAAAGGGAGGGTTTATAGGGACTAGGAGGATTTTTTTTTTTTACCTTTTGGGTGCTCTGGGTGATAAGAAAGATACTTACCTCCGAAGTAAACAGAAAAATAACTCTGCCTTATGTAGGAACTTAAAAACCAATTCTGGGGGTCTGAGGATGTAGCTTAATATGCACAAAGCCCTGGGTTCAATTTCTAATATGGGGGCAGGGAGAGTAAGGGAACTGGGGAAATCTTTCCATATAAGAACATCTTAGTAAAGTTCCCAATCATCTGCAGGTTGGAGACCGCTGTTATGAGGAAGGGATGTATGAGGCTGCCAAACTGCTATATAACAATATTTCTAACTTTGCCCGCCTGGCTTCCACTTTGGTCCACCTGGGTGAGTATCAGGCAGCAGTGGACAGCAGCCACAAGGCCAACAGCACTGAGACATGGAAAGAGGTAAGCTGTTGGAAGTCTCCAGAAGAATGTTAGTCTGACAAGCATTCTCTCCTTGTCCTTCCTGTTATACTCCACACTGTTCTACCAAGTAGGATGAGTTTGGGTACTGCCTCCTGTTCAAAAGAGAATTTCAGTCCTCTGGGACAGCTCAGAGAAATTCATAAGCTAGCATTTATGGTGGGAAGCAAAAGTCCCTGAAGAACTCCATCTCAGACCAATCAGTCCCCAGAAGGCATCTTAATAGTATGACATTTCAGTGTTATGAGTATATTATGACACTTTTTGAATTCTTGGTACCACATTAGTAGTGACATTCTTAGTCTTTCTTGGCAAATTGGTAGGGCAAGTTGTCTTGAGATGCTGTTAATATCAGAATCATCTTTAAGTATACAAAACTTTGTAAAGAGATGTGAAAGAGATAAACTTCAGTTAATCTCTGAAGCATTGCTTAATAAAAGATTAAAATCAACTTCAATGTCCAATATCAAGGCCTTGGTTAAGTAGTATATATGTTGTGACTCTATTTTGCTATTCAAAATGAATAAGCAGAACTAAATGTGGTGGTACATGCCTGTAATCCAAGCTACTCTGGAAGCCAAGGTAGGAAGTTTGCAAGTTTGAGGTCAGCCTTGGCAGCTTAGTAAGGCTCTGTCTCAAAATAAATAAAATAAATGACTGGGAGTGAAGCTCAATGGTAGCATTTCCCTGAGTTCAAACCCCAGTCATGGGAAAAGATGTTTCCAATAACATGAGAAATGTGTTGTTGATCAGAGTGTACAATGTAATTCCATTGGGTGCATAAGAGATTTAGTAGGGTACTAAGTGTATATATCACTCTAGAAAATAATGGGCCAAAGATTATTTCAAGTTAACAATTGGGTTCTATGATTATTACATTTGCATGTTCTTTTTTATCTACCATGAGAACATGTGCTGTCTTCAGAAGATAAGGGAAGTAGGGAAACCATAGCAAGCCCATTTCTAGTTTTAGTACAGAGTTATTCAGCCTCTAAAGAAACAGAGCTCAGGCTGGGGCTGTAACTCAGTAGCAGAGGATTTGCATGGCACATGTGAGGCACTGCTTTTGATCCTTAGCACAGCATAAAAATAAATAAATAAAGCCATTCTGTTCATAACACAACTACAATAATAAAAAGAAGCAGCACAGTTCAAGAGCCCCTCTGCACAAGGGCATCCTTGACTTAATTCTTGTTATCCTAAAGTATACATACAGTACAGTGCATAGAACAGTTTTATAGTTAAATTATTATAGCAAGCAACTCCCTACAGATAGCACTCAGATAGTAATTATTCTTGAGCTGTACATACCTGAAATTCCAGCATAACTGTCACCTAAACAAATCTCTACATCTCAGGACTTGGGCAGTAACGCCATGAGCTCTTCTGTTTCCATAGTCCAGAACACCCCTTGGCCTACAGATTGTTGATGTAATTTTTTTTCCTCCCAGTCTCATTCAGGTCATTTTATAGAAATATTGTTCAGAATCTTCCATTTGCTTAAAAAAGACCCTTCACTAGTATTTCTGCATTTCAAGTTGCATGCAACTGTTGTAGTGCCAGGTCTTGTCTTAGAAATGCTCACGCTGACCTTCCCCTAGGTATGCTTTGCCTGTGTGGATGGGCAGGAGTTCCGCCTTGCACAGCTGTGTAGCCTTCACATCATCATTCATGCAGATGAGCTAGAGGAGTTAATATACTATTACCAGGTAAGGCAGCATTGATGAGTCAACTCTAGCCATAGTATCCCTGCAAGGGATGCTGATGATGAGTGATACCTAACACTCTAAATAATGTGCAGTTCCTTTTTTAGTATATGAAGTTCAGAGTGGCTTGTTAGCCCACCTGGGCCTCACGCTGGTTGATGTCCCACTAAATTTCTTATGTCTTTTCTCTTCTTTTGTGTCCTGGGGTTTTTTAAAGCCCAGACAGTGGCTTGCACAATGGGATGCCCCATGGAAAACTGGGCATGGAGTACTGGGCAGGTTGTGGCACAGCCACTATGTGCAACCCATAGGGGTTGAGATTATCTGATGCCCGAGGGACAGGTACATTCAAGAAGGGGACCACAAGGCAGAGGTGACCCTTGTGACCCTTGGCAGGCAAGTCAGTGTTCACATTGCAGATAAACTCTGCTGTCGAGTGGTTAGTAGGCGCCATCCTCTTGTTGAATTGGATCTACTGGTGGGGTTCCTAGAGATGTCCAGTCACGCCAGGTGTGGTTATAGTGAAGGCAGACTTTGTTCAAGCAATTACAACTTCCCTGGGACTTGAGCCTCATTCCCCACTTACTGAGTAAAAAGTAGCCTGGAGGGGCCTCTGGCCAGCTCAAGGAGAACAGACAGACTAGGAAGCTGAGCTGGGAGGTCACTGGTCACCTTGAATCCTAGGAACAAGATCAGACCTGACTAGAGATGCTAGAAAGAGCCAGGAGAGACAGGAACAAGTCTTTTGAATAGATTTTGCTGCAAAAGAGAGTAGAAAGCGAGGTGATATTTGGCAGGGGACAAAGTTTCAAAATACGAATGTTTTAGGACAGGACAATTAGCAGGATGTTTGCTGGAGGACAGTTGTGTAAAGGAGAGTTAATGCAGAAGAGAAAGGAGAAAGTTGCTGGAGCAGTGGCCTTGATGTGCAAACGGTAGGGCCTGTAGCAGTTGGTGGATGCTAGATGAGATACAGGCAGGGTGCCTATAGAGTATAACTATGGGTGCCACTATCAAGAAAGGATATCTTTGAGAGTGGTCATGGAGGGTGTCCTAGGGTGGAGGAGAGGTATGAGTTGCCTCAAGTACGAATCCTTTCCAGGTCTGTGGTTATAGATGTACAGGGAGACAACATGTGTTGTCTGGATGAAGGGGTGTTTCTCCAGTACTCCAGATGCTCCAGACTGATAGATGGTCTTGTCTGGGAGGATGGCAGAGGGAGTTGGGGCTGAATGCAAAGGGATAGCCATCATAATTAAAGACATAGTCACATGACTGAGAGAACAGTGGGTTGCTCTTCTGAATGGAGAGTGGAGTTGACTTGTTATAGTCAGGAGTACACGTGCTGGATTACACCTGTAATCCCACCCAGCTACTTGGAAGGCTGAGGCAGGAGGATCACAAATTTGAAGCCAAGCTGGGCAACTTAGTGAGACATTGTCTCAAACACACACACACACACACACACACACACACACACACAAAGTACATTGTGTAGAGAGATTACAAAGAATCATTCTCAGATCCTGTTATCCCCATTTCTGGTTTTTTTTTTTTTTTTTCATAATTCTTTTCATTAAAATGGTAACCCTAATTTGAACTTAAACTTGAGAATTATAGTGAGGTGGTCTGCATCTAAAGATTGGTAATTGTTATATGACCCAGACAGTTGCTAAGTAAAATGATGTAGTTTGTACTAGTACCTCCGTGAGATCACACAGTTATCACATTTGGCATGGACCACACTTTGGTATGGACTGTGGATGGAGGGTGTCTGCAGGCAGTTGTGTAATACCTCTGACCCAAGTGTGGCTATTGATCTGCCAGGATCGAGGATACTTTGAGGAGCTCATGTCCCTACTAGAAGCAGCCCTGGGCCTGGAGAGGGCCCACATGGGCATGTTCACTGAGCTGGCCATTTTGTACTCCAAATTCAAGCCTCAGAAGATGCCAGAGCACCTGGAGCTCTTCTGGTCCCGTGTCAACATCCCAAAGGTACCTGTGTCCTTCCCATAGTTCTGGTCACATCTTTGAGTAGTGCAAATTGATCCCTGCCATGCCCTCCCCATTCAGGTGCTGAAGGCCGCAGAGCAGGCACACCTCTGGGCAGAGCTGGTGTTCCTCTATGACAAGTATGAGGAATATGACAATGCTGTTCTCACCATGATGAGTCACCCCACTGAATCTTGGAAAGAAGGTCAGTTCAAGGACTTCATTGCCAAGGTAAGTGGGTTACAGAGCTCTGGCAACTACTTGCCTCTGCCAGGCCCTGTTCTGGTGGGGAGAGGGTATGTCGACACCAGAGTGTGCTCCCCAGCCCACCCCACCTATGTGTGTTTGTTACACGTGCATTGCACCATCATCTGGGTGAATGGTGGTAATTCCATCTACATGAAGGGAACTGATGCTCAGGAAGGACAGATTACAGGCTAGGGCCACCCAGCTGGGCTGTAGACAGGGTCAAGTCAGTATGCAGACCTTAATCTACTCGTTTTTCTGCTCTGTCAACTCAGGGCTCTGCTTCACACCTTGTCAGCCTCCATTTTCTATTTTTTTTTTAATGTTTTTTTTTCTGACAGCCCTGTTAGAGGCACAGGAAATGCCCTTAGTGGAGGGACCATCCCAGGGTGGTCCTACAACCTCATTAAGCTAAACAAGGTCTCAGAACTTCTCTTACCAGCCATCACAGCTGTCAGGAGTTATCATGTTTGGATGTTAGCATCAAACAAGCTATTATTACACATTTCTGGTTTCTGAGTGGATCTAACCTCAGGACCTCTCTTTCTCTGCTTGGCTCTGCCCACAAGTTAGGAGAAGGGGATAAAAGGGAAGAAATTGACCATCATCAGTCGTGTGTGTGCACACACAGTATTTTAGTGGGGATAGAATCCAGAGCCTCACACACATCTTTTACTACTGAGCCCATGAAACCCCAAAAACTTTTTTCTTTTCTTTCTTAACTTGAGGCAGGGTCTTACTCAATTATCCAGGATGGCCTTGAACTTTCAATTCTCCTGTCTCAGCCTCCCAAGTAGCTGGGATTACAGGCACATACCACCATATCCAGCAAGTCCCCAGGCCTTTTGCACTGAGCATCTCCATTTTGCCCCAGTGTTTTGGAGTAAATAATTGGCTCACTACCCTCTCCCCTCTACTATCTGTCAGCAAAAGGAAGCATCCTAACTTCATCTTAGTCTTGCCATTCTTGGATTAAGGAGCAGGATGGCACAGCAGCCCCTCACAGCTATTGCCTCTCTCATGCACCTTCTTTTCAATAGGCAGCTATCTGTGGTGGGCATGGGTGGCAAGATGGCTGCCAAGTGAGGTCTCTGTGCCTCCTGGGAACTGTCTAAAGGAAGAATCATCAACAAGGTCAAACACCAAGCCACATGTTAGGTTCTTGGTGGAGGAGGATATCCATGTTATCTTGTATGTAGGGTAGGGTAGCATATGAAGTTGGCGACCTCTGGTAGGGTATCTCACCCTGAGTACATTCTGCAGGTTTCTAGTAGAGGACAAGCAGGTCACCCATTGCTATGGTCCATCCCAGGTAGATATGTCAACATGCTGGAAAATCCACACCTAATCAATTCTTTGTACTTATATAAAGTTTAACTTCTTAGATACCAGGGTGCATTTTAAAAACGACTTGAAGCGGCAGTCCTTTCTGTGTCTTAGTGTACATAACAGTGTAGAACAGATGAGGCCTATTAAGCAGGAAAGCAATCTCTCTCATCTGCCACCTGTAGGGCTGACAGTCAAGGCTTTTCTTTGTGTGATGATACACAAAAGCTTCTGCCATACTCTGATGTATAAGAGACATGTCACATCAGCTCATATGTAAAGGACAAGAGATACAGAGACATCATCCCCAGTTAGAGGAAAAGGACACATATCTGTGTAGGGACCCAATAGAAGGGTAACATTTAGTCTTCATTCTGAGCATATGAAGAAGGTATGCTGTTGAGTCTGTGTGGCACCTGGCTAGGCAGTGGCAGGCCAAGTAGGGAACTTGTTGACATATATAGGGTTGGCATTCTGTTTCCACCATTCACTAACTTAACTGTGAAACAGAAATGTCATTACTGTTATAGCTCAGTGGTAGAGCACTTGCCTAGCATGTGTGAGGCACTGGGTTCAATGCTTAGCACCATATAAAAATAAATAAAGGTATTATGTTCATCTACAACTAAAAAAATTTTTTTAAAGAAAATGAAATGGGGGTTGTGGTTCAATGGTAGAGTGCTTGTCTGGCTTGAGTGAGGCCCTTGGTTCAATCCTCAGTGCCGCATATAAATAAATTAATAAAATAAAAGATCCTTTGACAACTAAAATATATATATATTTTTTTTTTAAAAAAATTTAAAAAAGAAATGTTGGGGCTGTGGTTGTAGCTCAGTGGTAGAGCACTTGCCTGGCACATGTGAGGCACTGGTTTCGATCCTCAGCACCACATAAAAAATAAATAAGTAAATGTATTGTGTTGATCTACAACTAAAAAAAAAATAGAAGAAGAAGAAGAAGCTGGGTACAGTGGCACAAGCCTGTAATCCCAGTGGCTTTGGAAAGCGGAGACAGGAAGATCACAAGTTCAAAGCCAGCCTCAGCAATGGCAAGGTGCTTAGCAACTCATGACACCCTGTTTCTAAATAAAATATAAAATAGGACTGGGAATGTGGCTCACTGGTCAAGTACCCCTGAGTTCAATCCCTGGTACCCCCCCCCCAAAAAAAAAAAGAAATATCATTGTTCTGGACCTGAATTATCCCATTGATGAAATGAACATAGTGATTTCTCCCCATAAAGGGAGATACAGTAGATGCTGCATACATTAGGTGCTTCTTACAAGTAATGAATACTGTCATTAAGACCCCAGAGCACATCAGCCAATCACCCTAGAATTCATGACAAAATTTCTAAGCCTTTGTTTTCTTTTCTACAAAACAGAAATAGTGCCCCATCCCACTGGGGATCTAAGGCACAGTAGAGATGATGTCCAGGATTTGTGACATCTCTGGCACTCCTTCTGCTTATTAGATGACTAGATGAGACCCCTCTGATCTGGCCTCTGTGCTTCTGAGTGAAAGGGCCAGCCTGGAAGGATGACAAGTTCCAGAGCTGTTGGGGGCCAGCCAGTATACAGGAAAAGCTTTGCAACAATGCTTGGTCACTGCTCTGCATCTATGAAGCTGGTATTAGGAACATTGGAGCCTGGTGACAGCAAGTGCTCTAACATAAGAGGGAAAGGTCAGAGGAGGAAAAGAAAGAGAGGCTAAAGTTGTCAGTAAACATAAAGGGGCTTCCCCTCTAGGCCCCACATAGCTGCTCAGTCACTTAAACCCTGCATTTCTAGAGGCTTCCATAGTGCTCACCCTGCCCCCAGTGTAGCTATAGCTCTGGTCACACCCCATGTATACCCTCAGATCCCTTTTCACTCACACAGATATGTTCATCTTGCTGGCTTGGCTCATACCCTTGTGGAGCATAAGAATTACCTTGCTTTCTGAGTAGTAGAGCTGTAGGCAGGCCATGGACATCATTGCTGTAGTTCTCACGTCATTGAGTGATGCCAGCCAGCAGGAGAGTAGCAAGTGACCAGTGGGAAAGAGCCAAGAGACACAGAAGCCTGGCCAGACCTTGAAGTCTGGAAAGACAAGCCTTCCTGGTGGTGCAGGGTCTTCCCAAGGCTCACCCAAGGTCTGATTGACACACCATCCAGCTCAAAAGTACTGGAGATGTAATAAGACATGCTACTGGCTTACTTATAGCTCAGGAAGAGCAGAGGGCATCTGATTGAATAAAAGAATTTTGTTGCTTGTTTGTTTTTTTTTTAGAGAGAGAGAGAATTTTAATATTTATTTTTAAGTTTTCGGCGGACACAACATCTTTGTTTGTATGTTGTGCTGAGGATCGAACCCGGGCCGCATGCATACCAGGCAAGCGCGCTACCACTTGAGCCACATCCCCAGCCCTTGTTGCTTGTTTTTTATGTCTAAGTTTATTTCATCTTATTATACTTCTTTCATGCACTTAACAAGTATTGGTTGAGTACCAGACCTGTGTCAGGTAATTGCATAGGTGCTTGAGTAAGGCAGGAAACAGGAATGCAGAGTATCTAATGACAAGTACTAAATAGAATAGTACTGCAGAGATGGGAGTTGGTAGATCTGAGGCAGTTCGGTCCTAGGGGTGTCATGACAGGCCTCAATAGTCAAGTGGCATTTGATTAAAAAACAAGGCGGCCCAGTGGACCAGGATATTGGGAGGCAGGGCAGGGAATGACCTTGGGCTGTCCCCCTCCCCAGGTTGCCAACATTGAGCTCTATTATAAAGCCCTACAGTTCTATTTGGACTATAAGCCTCTGCTCATTAATGACCTGCTATTGGTGCTTTCACCCCGGCTGGACCACACCCGGACAGTCAGTTTCTTTTCAAAGGTGAGTTGGCTAAATCCCATTGTCCAGAGAAGAGTGTACTGGGGCTGGGGATGTAGCTTAGTGGTAGAGCATCTGTCTAGCACATGTGAGACCCTGGGTTCAATCCCCAGTACTGAAATAACAATAACAACAACAATTTCTCTAGTAATTTGAGAGAAATAGAATAGGGAACATGCCACTTATACAAATTATGAGAAATAAATATTCAGAGCTAGCTAAATAATTATATTGAGCTAGCTCTGCCTAGGCTGTCTAAAGGGTAGCACCTTTGTAAATAAGTTTTGAAATTGATCCCCAACCAGTTTCAAAATTCCATTTATCAAACTGCTTTAGGTTTCAGACACAGGCTTGCATTCCAAACCTGTGTCCACAGATGAAATAGTATTGACTGAGTAACCCAATGATCTCTTTGTGTATATAGGACCTGTTGATCCTAGTTGTTAAGAAAGTGCTCTCTGGCTCTGCAGAGCCCACACCCACTTCCACTTCATTAGTATGTCCCAGGCAACTCCTTCCAGGGTCTCTGTGATGAGTGTGGCTGAGTGTCTCAACCATTTTCTCCAACTTATCAGGCAGGCCAGTTGCCCCTAGTGAAGCCTTACCTGTGTTCAGTCCAGAACCACAACAACAAAAATGTGAATGAAGCACTCAACCATCTGCTGACTGAAGAGGAAGATTATCAGGTTGGTGTGGAAGAAGCAGCTCAGGAGCCAGTGGGCTTCTCCCTGTACCTGCCAGTCTGTTCTCATAGCAGGTTGAGGGTGTGGGGGCCCCCATCAGGCACTAGTGGATATATGGGCAGGGACCTTTCTCAGGCTATGGTAGCAGCAACCACCACAAAGTAATTCCTGGTGCCTGCTCACTGTGCAGGTAGCCTGTGTCATAGTGTCTCCTCTCTCATGAAAAAGCTGTCTTCCTAGGGCTTGAGGGCATCTATCTATGCCTATGACAACTTTGACAACATCAGCCTGGCTCAACGGCTAGAGAAGCACCAGATGATCGAATTTAGGCGCATAGCAGCCTATCTTTACAAGGGCAACAATCGGTGGGCCCAGAGTGTGGAACTCTGCAAGAAGGACCATCTCTATAAGGTTGGTCACCGCACACAACTGTTCCCTCCCTCATTTGCCCTGGCCACCTCACTGATGCTTTATGGATTGGGGATTAAAGGGTTCACACTTCAGACCTCTCCCAGAGACCAGGGCCTGAACTTCACCAGGAGATCCTTGTCGGTGGTGAAGGAACTCAGTTTTAGAGCATGGGATGAGAATTAAGAAGAATCTAGAACTTCTTAGAAATTATTTGGATTAAAGGTTCTTGCAGAGTCTTATGGAGTTGATTCATTTCCAACAGCCCAAACATATTATGGTAGGATTCTTTTTGTTGTTGTTGTTGTTGTTATCTACTTATCAAAATTTGAGAAATTAAACCTAAATTAAAATTAAATTCAAAACATTTGTTTTTTCCAGTGAGAGGTGGTTCAGGACCTCTCTCAAACTCTAAGTCCAGGTACCTGCTAATCAGGCATGAAGGCATTGCCGTCCTCTGGTTGGCCTGAACATCTCCCCAGTAGGGCAAAGTGGAGTGGTGTAGATGAACTTATTTCCAAGGGTTCTGTGTGCCAGGAAACCCTGGGAGCAACCCAGCAGGTGGTAAGCTTGACTAAGGATCTTACTCCTCAGAGTTGTCCTTGGGTGCTCCTTAGCATTTTCCCAGTGTGCTCAGACAGTATCCACCACTTGCCCAGGCTTTTGTTTTCATGGCACCTGAGCTCTGACTCCATTAAGGCATGTGATCCTTGATGTCAGGATCATGTTGAGCTTCATCCTAAGTTGTCATCTCCAGTGTTTTAGATTGTTTCATGATATTTAGCCCTGGGCTAGGGATATAGCTCAGAGGTAGAGCACTTGTTTTTTTGTTTTTGTTTTTGTTTTTGTTTGGAGGGGGGCAGCGGGATCTCCATACTGCTTTCCAGGAATGCTTAAACACCGAACCACACCCCCAGTCTTTTTATTTTTTATTTTGAGACAGGGTCTCACTAAGTTGCTTAGGGCCTTGCTAAGTTGCTGAGGCTCGCTTTGAACTTTCGATCCTCCTGCCTCATCCTCCCAAACTGCTAGGATTGCAAGTGTATACCACCATGCCCAGCAAAACAAGACTTCTTATGCTCTTTTGTAGAATATACTCTGTTCTGTTTCATGTCTAATTTTTTTAAAAACCCAGCTACTGGGGCTGGGGTTGTGGCTCAGTGGTAGAATGCTTGCCTAGCAGTTATGAGACACTGGGTTCAATTCTCAGCACCACAAGTAAGTAAATAAATAAGATAATGGTCCATCAACAACTAAAAAAAAAATAACTATTTTGACTCACCATAGTTCTTTTACAATTGATCATGGGTTATATTCTGAGAAAACATTTTTCTTGCTGACTGTCAGAATGATCTTTCTAAAATATAATAATTTTCTTTCAAATGCTTTCCACTACTATAAAGATATATTTAAAACTACCTTGACTTCTAAGGCCCTCCATTACTAGTTATTTTATCCCTGGTGCTTCCTCTGTCTCACCTCTCACTGGTTTCATGTTCATTTTACAATCTGACCTTACTTACTTTCTTTTTTAAATTTTATTTGTTGTTTTTAGATATACAGGACAGTAGAGTATATCCTGACATGAATTCATGGTGTATAACTTATTCTAATTTGGGTCCCATTCTTGTGATTGTACATGATGTGGAGTTCCATTGTGGTGTATTCATATATGAATATAGGGATGTTATGTCTGATTCATTCTATTGTCTTTCCTATTTCTATCCCCCTAACTTTCCTTTGTTCCCTTTGTCTAATCCACTGAACTTCTGTTCTCTCCCCCAACCCCTGCTTGTTTTCTGTTAGCATCCACATATCAGAGAGAACATTCGACCTTTGTTTTTTTGGAATTGGCTTATTTCACTTAGCATGATAGTCTTCAATATCCATCCATTTACCAGCAAAAGTTATAAAGTCATTATTTTTATGACTGAATAATATTCTTCATACATTCATCTGTTGAAGTGTACCTAGGTTGGTTCTGTAGCTTAGCTATTGTGAATTGAGCTGCTATAAACAATTGATGTGGCTGCGTCACTATATGCTAAACTTAAGTCCTTTGGGTATATACCGAGGAATGAGATAACTGGGTCAAATGGAGATTCCATTCCAAGTTTTCTGAAGAATCTCCATACTGCTTTCCAGAGTGATTGCACCAATTTGCAATATTGTTGTTTATTTATTGTTGTCATTCTGATTGTTACCATTCTGAAATGAAATCTCAGCCTAGTTTTAATTTGCATCTCTCTAATTGCTGGAGATGTTGGACATCTTTTTATGTATGTGTTGACCATTTGCATTTTTCTTTGGTGAAGAAGCACTTGTCTTAGTGCGCATGAGACCCTGGGTTTGATCCCCAGCACCACAAAAAAGAAACAAAACAGTGAGCACTTAGCAGGATATGGTGGCACATGCCTCTAATCCCAGCAGCTCAGGAGGCTGGAGGATCACAAGTTCAAAGACTGCCTCAGCAAAAGCAACTCAATGGACCCTGTCTCTAAATAAAATACAAAATAGGGATGGGGTTGTGGCTCAGTGGTCAAGTGCCCTTGAGTCCAAGCCCTAGTACCAAAAAAAGAAAAAAGAAAGAAAGAAAGAAAAGAAGAACCACTTGCTATGACATCTAGCCCTTAGTGATAGTGCTCAAGATCCTTTCTGAGAGCTGATAGGTCCCCTCCAGAAACTCTACAACCAAACAGAAGGTACCCAGGAGCTAGCTACTGGAAAGCAACAACAGAATTCAGACACATCCTGGCCAGCCTGTCTCACCTACTCTGTTCTGTCCCCATGGTGCCTGCCACACATAAATGTGCAGCCTCCTTGCCTCCCAGACAATGATGAGTGAACAGTGGTATAAGTACTGCCAGAGGTCCTTCTTTTCTAGCAAGCCACCCCTCAGAGCCACATGAACCAAGAAGACAATCCAAAGGACAAAACCATAGGTAGAAAGTGGAAAGCATGCTTCCCAAGACCTGTGATTCTGTTCTCCAAGGAGCATTTGTTTTTGTTTGTTTGTTTTTTTTTTTCCACATTTTTTGTTGGTACATTACCCAAGATGCATTTGTCACAACTGGGGACACAGTGCTTTAATAGGAGATAGAGACCAAAAATCATATTCAACAGCCCCCAGTCACAAGTGGCCCCCCTGCAAGTGTCAACACTGCTGTGCTAGAAGAGTCTTCTCTTGAGCAGAACCAAAGTCCCCTGGAAGAGAGTATCCATATCACAGTATGCCCAGACAGGGAGCAACTGGAAAAAGTATTTCCAAATGGCAGAGGTAGAGTTAGATAATAATATGATCAACAGTGGCACCCTTGAGGATTGGGGTGCAGTCAGCTTGGCCACTGTGAAATGTGCAGTGTTAGATGGGTCAGATGAGAAGCAGATAAGGGCTGAGGGCAGGAGGAACAGGGTCCCTCCACATACTTATGAGTTAGGAACCGGAGTCTGCAGCAGTGAAGTTGTAGTCATGGGTCAGGGCACCAGCAGCAGTCTGGAAGGAGAAATAGACAGCAGCAAGGATAAGGATCAAGAGCTACTCGAGAGTGCTGCAGGCTGGGGGTGATAATGAGAAGAGGAAGGTCTATTCTCAGCCCCCAGCTGGTTTCAGGCAGCGGGAGCAGGGTACTGCCTGACAGCTTTGTTGGACCACGTTGGACCTTTAAGTCCTCTAGGAAGCCACCTAGAGGAACTCAGTCTAGAGTTCAAGGGGTCTGAAAATGCCTAAGGCCTATAGAACAGGGAAAACAGAAAGGTGACTTTAGGTGCGGGTTGAAGACAGGCCACCTGAGAGTGACCAGTCAGAAGGAAACATTCAGGGAGACTGATGGCTATGACCAAGTTGGCATCAGATGACCTCACACATGTGCCTGAAGGCTTCCTGGAGCTTTCACTTTGAGTCTTAGCTAACTGTGGCCAGGAAAAAAAAAAGTCCTGGGGTGGGGCTGTAGCTCAGTGGCAGAGCACTTGCCTTGTACACACGAGGCACTGGGTTCGATCCTCAGCACCACATAAAAATAAATAAAGATATTGTGTCCAAAATATTTTAAAAAGAGTTTTAAAAAAAAGTCCTGATCTTTTAGTAACAGTGTGGAGGCTGTGGCAGGACTCTGAACTAAGCAGCAAGCAGGTGGGAGAAAATTTGTTTGGGAGGAAGGGAAAGAGGACTACTACCCAGAGCTGGCTCACAGAATATATTCAGGAGTCTTCCAGGTAACTCAGAGGCTTATATTAGAGCCCATAGTGGGTACATGAAGCAGGGACAGCAACTCTGCTTGCCATCCTCTCTACAAATTGTCATCAAATTGCACAGTCCACAAATTAGGTTGAGTGACCATGGGCAAGTGACTTCATTTCTGAGTAGTGACACCTGTCACAAGGGCTGGGCTGGAGTCAGAAAAGCTAGCTCATACAGCTAGAAGCAACCAGAGCACTAGTTTCCTACTAATTTGTCATAATGTGTGTGGCCTTTTGTACATAATGTTTTAAACAAAGACATTTGCAAATACAGAAATGGCAGTTAGGGGTTTTGAGGGAAAAAGCAAATCACTTTGTGTCTATGTATGTGTGTGGTACTGGGGATTGAACCCAGGGACACTCAGGCTGAACTACATCCCCAGCCCTTTTTTAGTTTTCGGCAGACACAACATCTTTGTTTGTATGTGGTGCTGAGGATCAAACCCGGGCCGCATGCATACCAGGCGAGCACGCTACCGCTTGAGCCACATCCCCAGACCCCCCCAGCCCTTTTTATTTTGAGAAAAGGTCTCACTAAATTGTGCAGACTGGCCTCAAACTTGTTTCATGATATGGGATTACAGGTGTATGTGTCTGTGCCCAACCAGATTGCTATTTCTTGAACACTAGCTATTCCCTTATAGCTGTTCCACATTAGTTGGAGCTCCAGATGGAGGCATGGCTATAGGTCTAAGCAACTACCTCCCCTTGCAGGTCCCTTAGAGAAGCCCTGCACACTGCCTCTACACCTATGTCTTTGGCCCTGAGGTGGAACCTCTGTCTCCCAGGGTGCCCTACTTGTGTGTGCCACCTCCAGGCAATTCAGCAAGGTTTGAGAAAACCACATTTGGTCCTCTCTAGAGTCCCTTGAGGTAGCACCTTCATCTTATCAAAGGGCAACAGGCACAGGGAACATCTCAGTTGTGTACACACTTATTCTATACTGTAAAGAAGAACCTTGTAGAGCAGCATCTGCCACCCCAGTTGACTAAAGGCTCAATGCCTCTACCTATGCAGAACAACCTGAGCTGTGCCTTTTTTTTTTGTTTGTTTGTTTGTTTTGTTTGTTTGTTTTTTTGGCTGCAGGATGCCATGCAGCATGCCTCAGAGTCGCGTGATCCTGAGCTAGCGGAGAAGTTGCTACAGTGGTTCCTGGAGGAAGGAAAGTGGGAGTGTTTTGCAGCCTCTCTCTTCACCTGCTATGATCTGCTTCACCCAGATGTGGTGCTCGAGCTGGCCTGGAGACACAACCTCATGGATTTTGCTATTCCTTACTTCATTCAGGTGATGAGAGAGTTCCTTAACAAAGTAAGTAATGACTATGCTGTGCCTCCCTGGTATAGCCTATCCCTGGTGGTAACCTGACCCTGGGCCTATAGGGCCCATTTGGCCCTGGTGGTGGGCCCATTTGAGGCCAGTTGCCCACCCCTAGCCCTGGCCTGCCTTCGGGAATGGTCTGTTTCCTCTATGTGCAAGTAGTTTTTTTTCCCAATAGCACCCTGCTCTAGAAAATCACTGTGGGAAGCATTGGGTAGAACTAAGCACTTCTTATTCCCAGAAGCTGTTCTGCAGACCTTGCCTGGGAAGCTACAGCAAAGTACACTGCTAGGGAGCAGGAAGGTGTACTCACCTTGGGCTTCATCAGTGAGGCACCAACTGGTAGTACTGGCTCCCCTTCAGCACACAGCTTATTGGGATGCACATAGGCTAGGCTGTCTCCTCTCAGCATCTAGTGGAGTCTGGGGATGCAGCTATTGGTGACCTCATTGGTGATGACCCCCTTATGCTGAGCACTTGATAGGAATATTACCACATGTTAACTCCTTCCAACAGCTGTGCAGGGATGACTTCACCTACCTCTTCAGGTCAGTGTCTGATTTTGAAATTTTTTCTGAGTACCAAGTCCTAGGAGTGCCTGTTTGGGACCCAGCTTTAGCCTGTGTTTAGAGACTTGTGTTGTCTCTCCCAGTTGTTTCTAAAACTGTGGAAAGTTTCTCAGTACCACCTTCTTGCCCTTGTACCTATGCACCAAACCTGCTTCAAGCCAGGTAGATACCCCAAAGCCACTCCTGTTAAAATTTCTTGCCATGGTACAAGGTAATATGGGGATCCTGGGTTAGTGTAAGCTGGAAAGATATAGCCTGTGCTGCTAGCTTTGACCTGCAAGGATTTGCAAGGCTGCCGGCTGCCTACAGAGCCTCCGGGATTGTCCAGCCCTTGGTGAGGGCCACTCCAAAGGCCATTTAGGGCCATCATTTCACTGCAGAGAATGTAACTTAGTCCTATCTGGATAGCCTGCCTGGGTGAGGCTTCATTATCTTTGAGGGGTGAGGGATGGCAACCCCGACTATGTGGCTTTAGCAGCCAGAGGACACAGATTGGTTGAGTTTACAAGGGTCCCTGGTTTCCCCACCACAGGGGACTGTCCCCCAAGGATTTTCAGGAGCATGTTTTCTGTCTATTTTGGATGATGGTGTTTATTTTGGCAGCCACTGTCAACTCAGACAGCACTGTGGCCACATAGGTAACCCAGTGTTGGTCCATGGTTTCCAGATACCACCATTATACCTAGGAGATAGTGGCTACTGTGATGCCTGCCCCTGTTTCTGCCAGACAAGGTGCCTGCTGTGGTAAAGAGAGGAGGGTCCCACAAGGGGTCTCCTCAACAGATGTGTGGGGGTATAGACATGGGCTTGTTCTTGGCCTGAGCTGCAGTCCCACAGAGGCAATATGGCAGTGCCATAATGGTGAAGGACCCAGACAAGAAGACCACAACTGGGCTGGGGTTGTGGCTCAGTGGCAGAGTGCTTGCCAAGCATGTGTGAAGCACTGGGTTCAATTCTCAGCACCACATACAAATAAATAAAATTTTAAAATTCATCAACAACTAATAAAAATAGTTAAAAAAATTTAAAAAGAAGGCCACAACCCCTCTTGACTGAAGAACTAGGTTGGGGCCTGCCAGCTCATCTAGGAAACTTGTAGGCTATCCCTCTGCAACCCTCCAAATACTGTCTGGGTGGAAGTAGGTACAGTCCCAGCTCAGATTTTTGCAAACTGCCAGCAAAGAGGACAGCCTATGGGCCATAATGCCTCATCTAGGTCCTGGTTTGCTGCAGGAAGGCGTTATCAGGACGCCTGGCCTGATCTTCCCAGACCCAAGCTCATAGGGGAAAAATTATCTTCATTTTTACTCCACACCTGGTTTGGGGGATTCTAGATGCACAGTTGCTATTGTCCCCATTAGAACAGTGCTCACACCTCTGACAGTCCCTTCTGCACCACTTCATTCTGTTCCCAGCCTATGACTACTGCACAGGGGCAGCATGTAATAACACTTCATAGAAGAGTAAGGATGCAGCTTGTCCTCAGTGTCTCACAGATGGAGTGTCCCAGGTTTCAGGTGACTGGTCTCTTGAAGACCACATGCTCTCTCTATTGGATAGGAGGGGCAGGCAGTCACAGCACACTACCCCAGCCCTGCAGGTTCATAAGCAGTGCTGTCCCTGTGTCCAGAGGAAGACTCAGCCCTTATGAGCCAGGCCACACTCGTAGCCTATGACTACTAGCCACTGCTACAGTGTACCTGGGGGCCACAAGTCCACCACAAAGCAGCTAGGCTGGAACAGCAGCTGGGGCTTCACCAGAGCTGTTCCAGATGCTCTGTCTCAGCCCCAATTCCCAGGCTTCACCTCATTATGGCCTTCCTGCAGAGTAGGGTATGGAGCCACTTTGGCTGTTCTGCACATCCTCAGCTCCAAGTTTCCTGGAAGTTCCTGTGTCAGGTCTTCTGTCCCATGTTCACCTAGAAGCGGGACTGTACTCTATTGTATGGGTGCTCACATGCTCCTGCCTCTTGCAGGTGGACAAACTAGATGCCTTGGAGAGTCTGCACAAGCATGAGGAGCATGTGGGGGAGCCTGCCCCACTTGTGTTCGGTAGGTAGCACACTAGGGTGGGGATTCATGCTGCCCTGCCCTAGTTGGGTTTCAGATAGAGATATGGATGGATGGATATTTGGGGGGCAGTAAGGGCTTCAGTAGTTTCTAGGTGTAAAGGGCAGTGTCCAGGAATTTTGGCATAGCAATCTTCTCTGCTCTGAATGCACGTGCCTTATGATTAGGGTGTTACCCTGCTGTGTCCTGCCCTGTTTGGCCCTGAGTGTATGGCTGCTGCTGGCTTGTGCTAGGAGTGGCTTTGCACCTGAGAACCTGGCTGTCTTAGCAGACTGGAAAAGCTGTTGGGTCCTGACTGCACTGCAGAGCTAACAGGCCTTCCTAAGTGGTATGAGCACATAGCATACCAGCTGGGCTCCAGTGTGTCCTCCCAAGACAGCGTATGCACTCACTATTAATATCAATCTGGTTTTTTTAGATTTTGATGGGCATGAATGAGAGCCAGCCGATTGAGCTACGTAAGTGTCCAATATGAGGACCAGCCTGGCCAGCCCCACAGCAACACTCCCACCCTCTTTGATCCCAGACTTCTGCTCTCCCCATGCCTCAAGCTCTAGGTGGTCAGGGTTGATCCTAGCAACCCTGCTTCTTGGGCCTCTGGCTCAAGTGGCAGCCAGGAGAGAAACCCCAACCTGGGCATCAGGAGGTCTTCTCACTCTGGGCTTCTCTCTTCTGCAGGCCAGCAGCTGACGCTGACAGTGAGCTCTGCTGGCTTCCCCTATGGATATGCAGCTGCTCCTACCTTCACCCAGCCTCCTGTGTTTAGCTTCAGTGTTTAGTGGGTATTCAGTATCCACACCCCACTCCACCCAATTATTAATTTCTCCAAGAAACATTGTACTCTGGACACACAGAGAACCCTGATTGGGAAGCAGGACACACTGGCTGTTATTCATTTTTACTGAAGCTCAATGATGGCAGCTATTGAGCCATCTTAGAACCTGGGAAGGTCTCAGTAGACCCTGACTGCCCAAGAAGACAAGCACCAACCACAGTGGGACTACTGCTTCCAGACCCTCTGGCTGGAGCCAGGCATTGCTAGGGAAGTTCTTTTCTACAAGGATTCCCTGAAGCTTGGTAGGAGGGGCATTCTCTTCACCCCATATTGGCTGAGCTGCCCTCTCCAGGCTACTTTGCAGACATATAGGATTTGTATGGAGATGCCAAACCTCATGACTCTGAGTCTCCTGCTGATTATGAATATTAAAAGTTGGTTTAGCAAGACGAAGCTTCTCTGTTTGGTGCTCTTTTGGGTAGGAGGGACAGAAGCCAATTAAATAGGTCACAAAGCCTGGTAAAGATTTGCTGGGACCTTGGGGGATGCTGTGACTGCCCAGAGAAGCTATCTAGAAGTATGCAGCCAAGTTGTATTTGGGTCTTTAATTGATCATGTTTGCTGCACGGAGCTCTAAATTCTGAAGAGCAAGATAGCAACTACACGGTCCCGTGAGGTGTCAGAAAGCCACGCTCGCAGACGGCAGCAATGGGGCTGGACGCACATGCCTTAGGAGAGTATCTGCCTCTCTCTCCTCTGAGACCTCCGGGGAACCTTATTACCACGTGCAGAGGCCCAATCCTTCCCCAGCGCTTCATTGCTCCAGGCAGAGATACTGCACCTTGACCCACTGCTCCCCCACCGGGGCGCAGCACCTCCTCCACGAGGCCCCGCCCCTGACCCTGCTGCTCACGCTTGTTCAGAGACTCGGCACCCGCCGTTGGCTGGGCTTTGGTCCCCGCCCCGACGCCTGTCTCCGCGCGCCCCGCCCCGGCCTCAGTTTCCCGGCGGGCACGGGGCGGGGCGGGGGCGGGGCCCTGCTCAGGCCACGCGGGGCGGAGCCGGGGAGCTGAAGCGACCGCCCCGCCCCCGGGACCAGAACCGGTTGCCGCTGCCGACTCCACGGACCTAGTGCCCAGCGTAGGAGGCTCGGACCCGTGGCTAACACCGGGCGCCCCGCCTCCCGCCCGACATGGCCGCGCCCCGTGCCCCCCGCGCTCTGGCGGCAGCCGCGCCCGCAACCGGAAAGGCCAAGCTGACGCACCCCGGGAAGGCGATCCTAGCAGGTGGGCCCATCCGGGACGTGGACCCCCATCCCGCCCGCTCCGCTTCCGGGTGGGCCCGGGACACCGAGGCCCCGCCTCACTTCCGGGTCGGTCGAGGGTATTACGGTAACGGGGGACGTGTCCCCGGTCTCCTCCTGGCGCCGTAGGCTCGCCCGGCTTGTCGTCTCTGCACCTCGTCGGGACAACGGGGTGAGGGGCGTGTGCACCAGGTTTGGCCGCCTCGCAGTACGGTTGGCGGCTCCTCCGGGCGAAGTCCGGAGCGGGGGAGGGGCCCGAACGGCGGCTGGGGCCACCCAGGGCCACGTCTTAGGACCTGGTTGCCCTATCCCTGCAGGCGGCCTGGCCGGCGGCATCGAAATCTGTATAACATTCCCAACTGAGTATGTGAAGACGCAGCTACAGCTGGATGAGCGCTCGCACCCGCCACGGTATCGGGGCATCGGTAAGGAGGGGGTGGACACGGGGCTATGGGAGGCAATGAGCGGCGCGGGGCGGGTGCTGAGGGTCGCAGTATCCTGACTGCCCCCTCCTGCAGGGGACTGCGTGCGGCAGACGGTCCGCAGCCATGGCGTTCTGGGCCTGTACCGTGGCCTCAGCTCTCTTCTCTACGGCTCCATTCCCAAGGCGGCCGTCAGGTGAGGCCAGGCTGGGTCAGGGCGACTAGGAGATGCCCCCTACCCCAGCAGAAGCGGAGACACATCTTACCCTCCTCTCGTCCCCAGGTTCGGAATGTTCGAGTTCCTCAGCAATCACATGCGGGACGCCCAGGGAAGGCTAGACAGCACACGGGGGCTGTTGTGTGGCCTGGGTGCAGGTGTGGCCGAGGCTGTGGTGGTCGTGTGCCCCATGGAGACCATCAAGGTGGGGAAAGTCCTGGCGCAGAAATAAAGCTGGGGGGGGCGGTATTCCAAGGTACCCCAGACCATTACCATGTACCCCATTGAGATTGTCATGGGGGGAAGGGCTGATGGATCGAGATAGCAGGGGTTTGGTAAGTCTGTTCCTGGGAGAAGATCAAGGTGGGAAGATCTCAAGGAAGCTGGGCAGAGCATGGAGGGAGAACACTAAAGGACTACTGGGGAGGCCTGGCAGGAAGGGTCTCCTGTGGAGGCTGTCTATTGTGGAGACAAAATTATTACTAATATCTTTTTTAAAAATACTTTTTTAAACAGAACACGTACACATTTGCTGCCCAAACTTTGGAAAATAGCAGGAAAAAACGCAAAGACTCTCTTTTGTCCTGGGGCCTCTGTGCAGGACAGCCTAGGGTGGCTCTGCTTACACCCCCATCCCCAGCCTTGGCCTGACCTTGGTGGTCTCTGAACCTGATATCGACAGGGCAAGGTGTGCTTGTTAGATGATGGAATCAGATCTAGCTTCTTTGCCTGCCTGCCCCCGTCTCTCTCTCTCTCTCTCTCTCTCTCTCTCTCTATGCCCCCCCTCTCTCTCAGGTGAAGTTCATCCATGACCAGACCTCCCCCAACCCCAAGTACAGAGGATTCTTCCACGGGGTTAGGGAGATTGTACGGGAACAAGGTGAGCCACTTGGGAGGGTCAGAAACCTTCACCAGGCTAAAAAGGGCCTGTACTTCTACTTTATGTCTTGGCACTTCACATGACATCTTCCCAATCCCCCTTGGGGTCTGGGAGGCACCAGGGTAACTCTAAGCTGCCTGCCCCCAGGACTGAAGGGGACCTACCAGGGCCTCACCGCCACTGTGCTGAAACAGGGCTCAAACCAAGCCATCCGATTCTTTGTGATGACCTCCCTGCGCAACTGGTACAGAGGTGAGTCTGTGTGTCCCAGGCCCCACCTCCAAATACTGCAAGGTAGATGCCTCCCTTTGGGCTGCCCTTTTGAGGAACGGGGACACTTTCATAGCCCTTGCTTCAGGCTCCTATCTACCTTCAAAGCCTATCCCCCTTTATCCTCCCAGCACCCACTAATCACAACTCCCCATATATTTAGGGGACAACCCCAACAAACCCATGAACCCACTGATCACCGGGGTTTTTGGAGCTATTGCCGGTGCAGCCAGTGTCTTCGGAAACACGCCTCTGGATGTGATCAAGACCCGGATGCAGGTGGGGGGGCGCTGAAAGAGTGGGAGGGGAACTCCAGTCAGGGGCTAGCTGCTAAGCACTCTAGCCCACTGGTATCCTATAGGGCCTGGAGGCGCACAAATACCGGAACACGTGGGACTGTGGCTTGCAGATCCTGAGGAAAGAGGGGCTCAAAGCGTAAGTAGGGGAAGTACAGGGCTATTATCCCTACCCAGACCATCTCTGGTCTTCCACCCTCCTGTCCCCCTTTAGGCCTCTATTTTCCTTCTAGCAGGGAGCTGGAGGCTGCCCTTTGAAGGGGCATTGTCCTTCTGCTCCTCCCTCCCTGACTTACCCTATACCCCTCCCTCACCCAGTTTCTACAAGGGCACTGTCCCCCGCCTGGGCCGAGTCTGCCTGGATGTGGCCATCGTGTTTATCATCTACGATGAGGTGGTAAAGCTTCTCAACAAAGTGTGGAAGACAGACTAAGCCCAGAGGGTATGGGGGGTGCTGCCCTAGGCACCTCGAAACCAGCCCCCTGCCACCCATGTCTCACATGATTCCAGTGCAGTCGTGCCAAAAGGCCCTTTTCCCTCTTCCCTAGAGCTCCATGGCTTGGTCCTGGTGGCCATCATGTATTCCATGGTGCCATGTCTCTCTGATCTGTATGTGGCACTACCATTGTGTTTGTGTCCACCTTGGCCACAGTTGGATGTCTCTCTGGCCTGTGAATCTGTGCCCACTAGTCCATGTGCTTACTTGTGAGCTCTGTGCCTGTGTTTCATGTTCTGTGTCATGTGATCCTGCACCCGCTTCCCAGGGTGCTCGTGTGGCCTGGGTCCACGGTCCTGTAGGCCATGGCCCCATCCCAGTTCGATGCCTTCCACCCTGGGCGGCAGGGGCACCCTGCCCAGGCCTACCACAGCTGCCTCCGGGCCTCAGCCTGGCCTCACTGCATTCCAGGGGCTGTGTGCCCCCTGCTTCTCCCGCCATTGGCCTTAACTGGCCCTCGGGCCCTCCCTCCACCCAGGATAGGGTGGCACCCGCCACTCTCAGGACCACCCTGCCAAGGCAGAATAAACCGGATCCTGTCGCAGTCTCCTGTCCCTGCGTCCATCCCTCTCTGGTCCAGTGTGTGGGTTGGAAGCAGTAATCATGAAGCCTCCCTGGAAAGCCAGCCCACCCTTCACTTTAAGACACTACAATAAGCAAGGTGATGAGCAAGACCAGTATCTGCCCTGGGCAGGATAGCTGCAGCCAATCTAAAAGTTCCTTGAGAGGCCCAGGTTGGGGCCAACAAGGATTTGGGTTGCATCCAGATCTTCCCCTGTGTGGCTGTGGGCAAGTTCCTGTGGTCACTGCAAGTTGTGCCACAGGCCCTGAGATGGTTTGGTAAACAGAATGGGCAGAGTGGAGGGCTGGTTCTGGGATACAGTGCTTCTAGGAAGCTTTTAAGCCATCACTACTACTCACCCCAGGGAAGGATCCTGTTTTAGGGCTCCTCTGTCCCTCAGTCTGTGGTGCAGCCCACCTTACCTCAAGGAATGTCTGAAATGGGCTTCATGCAGGAAGGGACATGTGATTCTGAACCATGGGGTTTCTCTGAGACTCAGAACAGGGGCCCTTCCCTACTCCTTCTACACTGGGAGGCAATTGCCTGGGAGCAGGAAGTAGGGGTGAGGGGCTGCCTAGCCAAGGACTTCTGGGTACTTCACCCCACACCCTTGAACTCCAGCACTCTAGCTGGAGTTTCCTTGTATCTGTCATATATGGGAGCCAAGGTAGGGCTTGAGCTCTGAGCCTAAGGTCCCATGGTCCTAGCCTCTCCTTCCACAGCATGAGCCACATGGAAGACTTGCATGGGAATGCAGGGTCAACTGGTGCTCCCAGCTATATGGGTGGGGGGGGGGCAGAAAATACATACCTTCCTGTCTCCAGTGCCTCTGTATGGTGTAAATTATGAAAGTGATTGCCATCAGGAGCTTCCTACTCCTGGAGCCTTTACAGAAAGAATACCTGGTTATTGTAGCCTAATACAGGCAGCCCTGGGTACCTAGAGTACATACCATGCATGTGGCAGGGGAAGAAACAAGGTGCAGAGTGTCCAAAGCAAATCTGAGG